ACTGGAAATAAACATTATGTTCTCATAATGTGAATCTTAATCCCAGTGAAGATAATTGATGTCCAGAGTGAAGATCTAAATTGCTGGATTTTCAAAAGTATTTGTAAATAGCAATATCCTAGATATTCATGCCTGAACTCTTTGGAACTTGACTTGGATGGAGATTTCATGGAATCAGAATGGAGATCAGAGTTCCAGAAAGTCGGCCACAGCACATCCCATTTGCTATTTACAAATCCTTTTTAGACCTCAATAAAAAGGTTCCAAATCAGATTTCAGCACTGATAGTCTTTTACATACAAATCATATATATATATATAATAAATATACAAATGAAGAACAGATAAAAGGAGCTAAGTTGTCACTCATAAGACTTCAAATATTTTGGTATTGCTTTAATGAACACTCTAGGGGAAGCTCACAAAACAGATTTATTTATGAGCCTTACTTCGGTATCTGACAGTTGCTCGGATAAAAATAAGTTTAAAGTGACTTCTAAAATTGTTGCTTTAAATTCATAAATAGTTGTATGATTTTTCAAAACCTTCCCCGGAATACATCTTTAAAGTCCATCATAATACAAAGAATTTGTTCAACATTGTTCACTGGCTAAATTAAAATTAGGTATATCAGGGAAAACAGAACCTCATAACAAGCACAGGAATTATTGTGTAATAGTCCAAACTACCAATGTGGAAACTTTAGAAGGCGTAATCTGAAAAAATAAAGTCTATTAAAAAAAACAATATAAATACTTTAATGACAACCACTAATATAAACGCTGAGATATTTCTTTTCTATAATGTTCTACATTTGATGGTCATTTTGAATGATATGCTGCAGTACCGGAAACATAAAGGACAATGTTTATACAAAGAAAAGGCATTCAAGACTGCTTGACAAGTGGTTATTATAATAATCCTTGCAAGTGGTTATTAATTTAACAGTACACAATACATTGATATAGGTCTTTGAAACAAACAATGAGATAAGTATTCAAATGTCTAAGAGGTTTGGTCCCCAATTTGGAAAGTGAGCTCATTGCAGAATGGTTGCTTAGGTCAATTCAGACATTGCCTTTAGGAGTTGTGGTCATTTAAAAACTGATTAGAATCATAAATATATGCCATAGTTAAAATGACCAAATTAGCAAGCCAATTGGTGATTGCTATCAGATATCACTTTGCAAGAAGTGCACTATGAAAGTTAAAGAACACTACACTAATCGAACATAGAATTCTCACTGTAAAAACGATACTTTATTGCATAATTGAATAAGTCCAGTCATTTACGTGAAACAGTTTCACTTCCAGTAAGTTAAATTTTAGAGATGGAATAAAATTTGATCTTGGGAAAAGATAATAGTGCTTTGTTTCTTACACAATATGTCAAAGGTAGCTATGAACTTTTCATGCAAAATACATTTGAATCTCTAAGATTGAACTTAAATTTTTTTAATAGGTTTTATTTTCAAAAATGATATTATTGAATATAAAAATAGTATGGCAAAAATAGGAACTTTTTAAAATTTTCATTGGCAGAATACGAATTCCATATTTAAGTTAACATATAAACCCTCCACAAAATTCAAAAGTTTAAACATGGTAATTCCAGTATTTTCCTTTCTTTTTGCTACAGGGTGATGTGAAAAATTTACACAAGCCTTACAAGAAGTATTTCTTTTATAGTACACAAAGTCAAAAGAAACACTTTGCATATTGGCCCACAAGCAAAAGATTCAAACCTGTAACCTTGCATAGTGATTCCCAACAAGTTATACAAGAGAAAATACATTTATTATTTCATTTGTCTCTATTAGTTTCCTGATAAGGAGTGGAACTAGCATTTTATTAGTCTCACGAAACAAATGGAAATAACGGTGTGGATTGGCATATATTTTCAGTTCTGTCCAAACACAGTGCCAAGTAATAATATCTTCTTTCCAAACAGGAAGCAAGCAGCGTATGAAACTCAAATACAACTTTAGGCAAAAATGTGACATGTGAAGGCAGAAATAGTAATTTGACAGTTTTTAAAGAAACCTTTGATCACAGGAACCCATGGGATCAAACAGGAACATGTTTAAATGACTATTTGTGTTTCGTGAATCCAGCTACCAATGATTTACATCTAACTGATTTTCTGACTAATGTAAGTCGACCCAACAGTGGTAGCCGCACGAAGCAATAACAGGCTATGTGATAGACTCCAAGAGAGAAGTAATTGCAAACAAGGATGCCATTAATTATCTCATTCCAAAGAGTTAAAGCTGATACTAATGTAATGATTTTTCTTACCAACTATCTAAAGTGCTTCAAGACAACCTCCCAACATGAAAGGTGTTATATAAATATAAATGGTATTGTACTTAAGCTTTTAAGATTGAGACTTTATTGAATTCTAACAGCCCAGCCATTGTAGAGGGAAGAAAATCTTTTCAAAGACAAGTTGTCCAAAGGAAGCTCTGAAGGAAATTGTGTTAGTATTGTTTAAATGTTTTTTTAGCACTTGGTCTCAGTAGATTTAATAATGACGCATTCCTTACTCAGTGTCAAAAACATAAAGCTTTTGAAAATTATTTTAAGCTACTAAAGCAGTCTAACAAACCAAAAGGCTAGGGGAAATCAAGATGGAATGTTTTTGCTCAGCCAGGTGTTTTGACACATACGGAAACTCATCACCATGCTTAAGAATATCCAAACCAAGAGCTGGAAAGCTAGACTGATTCCTTTTGTAACATGAAACTCAGAAAGGGACATGATTTCTCTTACTTTATATGACACACCTATTTACTACAGTACTTGTATATGTGGAATTTTAACCACATAAAGAATGGACATTATCTCTAGTTGCTACTTGTGCAAGTACCAATACATATTTTCTCAGAGTAAAATGATGCAAGTTTGATTCTCCAAATCTGCTCACTTCCAGATCTGAGCTAGGCAGAACCCGAAGAAATGAAGGGTGGGTGTCATGGAATTTTTCCACTCAAAATCAGGCTTACTACAGAATCTTTAGAGATATGGCACTGAACAGTCTTGGAATAAACAGGGCAGTTTTGCTGCTCATAATTTTGAATCAGAATGCAAGTAATGAATTGTAAGTTTGTGAACATTAAGTTGGAAAATGTAGTACAACTCATCTTCAGTTGTATGTCATAGTACTTAACCAGAAAGTATTTATTGCTCACGTCCATGTAACCACTTCTGATTACATTGGTGCTAAATCACAAAGAAATCTGTTATGGAGATTGCACAAAAGAGATCAAATTACTAATTGTACCAAAATTCTAAATTAGGCCTCTAAAGCTTTTGGTTATCAGTTGATACAAATGTTGACATTTTTAAATTCTACCTTGTACTGTAAGGACAAAAACAGCAAAATTACATTATTTAACAATACTGTTTTATTCTTCCATTTTGGATATTATTTAGAAAACTTACAGTTTAACTATGTGTTTGAAAAACCTCAAAGATGCAATTTGAACATAGCTGAAATACTTAAATTAAACTGGTTTATTTTTACCAACAGTTTGTATGAGGATTCATGGAACGCAATTGTACCTGGCTACACGTTATAGAAAACTTTTATAAACCACAGTTCAGTAAGACAGTACAAGGCCAGAAACTTGGCTGCAACTACACTACCATATTATTAGCCAGTGGGAGGTGTGATTAAAATCTGACCAAGTTCACCTATTCCCTGAAATGGTAAGGTAGGGACTCACCTAGAAATAATGTTCAATTCAACTGTTTGGTTGAGAACTGAAACTCATCAACAATAACTAGCAGTCCATGTCACAATTTACCATCTGTTTACAAATGTAACCAGTTTTTTTCCCAATTCCCAAAACAGCAATAAGTTCAAAACTGGAATGTTCTAATCTTTGTATGTCTACTTATCACTTACAAATACAGCCACTACACTTTACAATAAATCATGTAAAGCACTTTGGGATAGATGATGTCATGATAAGGTGCTATATCGATTGGAATGATTATTATGATCTATTATTAATTTGAATCCAAGTTGAAAATCAGTAAAACTATATTGCAAGAAACTTTACTATAGATGGAATTCATTGGCAAACATTGGTTTTGTATAAATTAATTGCAGCTGCATTTTTAAAGTATTCAAAAATGTACTCTATAAAATACCTTTTACTTAGCTTGAGTTGATTGAATACATTATACTGTCATTTTTATTGAATCCAAAGCTTCATTTGGCCTCTCATTGCTTGGGTGCTGAATTTTTTGCCTTGAATTTGTAGGATGGGACATTGAAGTATTTTCTTCACCGAAATATAGAGTAAACAGCATTCCGTTTACTAGCCTAGCAAAGAATTGTCTCACGAGAAGAGCAATCTGAATGCTAGGTCAAAGCTTGTACCACTATACATATGAGGCTGTGTTTCACAAAGCAATATTTTGTATGAAATCTTAAAGGGACCAGCTTGCAGTTCAGTATTACTGCCATACTAAATTACATTTACTTAAAATATGTGGAAAATTCTTCAACTTTCTTGTTTTAGAAGATATGGAATACATAAATAAGGTTCCTTTCTAGGTAGCAGTTTGTGCACCATTATAGAATATGTTCTCTGTCAATGTCCAGAGGTGTAGAGTGCTGCCTTTTACAACACAATAGAAGTGGAAACCATTGCCCTCTATTTCAAAGCTCTTGTGATTACACTTGTAATATTGGCATGAAAATCTGTGGTGTCAATCATCGCATCATTGACCAATGATAATTTGTGGTCAACATGAATGCCCAGTTACTAAAGATTGACTAAGGGGGTAAGGGGGTGACTTCTTTCTCCCTTCCCAATTCAGCTATAGTGGTTAGTCTTAAATACTGATACAGATTAGTCCAACCACTGTGAGTTGGGTAGGTGTCAGCCCCACATTCAATCTTCATCCAGTGGGCTTGTTGCTTGGATTTATGAACAACAATAATTATATCCTAAATTAATTAACATGATAGTTCACAATTATCACCACACTGTTTTTAATCTATGACTGAGATGAAATCAAAATAATAAATAGTGCTAACTAAAGTAACTTTTTAAAATCATTAACAAAAGCATAATTCCATGACTTAACAAAATGAAAAAGAGGTAGCAGCATTAACCAGAATAGTTAACCATAATTTACACTGTAGTGTTGGCCTTTAAATAAAACCCATTGCTGTACATTGTTTGTGTGTGTGATGGTTTTAAACTCAACCTATCGTCAGTCTTTGCATTGAAAACAAAAATTTGATCCTTAGTTGTTTGTTAAAATATAGAATGACAGGGCAGACCAACAACCAGCCACATTTACAAATAATTCGGGGAAACAGACAACAAGATACTAAAGGTTACTATATCTATTTAACAAAGATATACATTTACATTTGTTACTTAAACATCAGTTTAAAGTGCCAGACTTTAGGTGTGCTCAATAAACTCTCAGGTTCTCCCACGAACTAGAGCCAGTCATGGACAGAGATGTGCATACGGTTTTCTGATTTGTTTCAATTCATGTAAACTATTCTGAATCCTCTCAGTACTAACCGGCAGCCCAACATACTTCTGAAGGTTGAATTACACCTTCCTCATATACACGTAAGATGGCTTCACATACAAATTTGTACTGACTCTAGAAGAAATGAAACATTGTTTCAAATTAATTTTCAGCAAACAATTTAAGATGTTTTAATGACATGATGTATCAAATGCATGGATTATTATTATTAAAATCTTGAACATCTGTTCTTACTGTCCAAATCTTGGTTTTAAAATACAGCACTTGAACATATTACACAATTAAAATGATCTTAGGTTAAGAGAAGAAAAAAAGAATGTTTTTAATATCTGTTTTTAAATATAACAGAGAAAACAAACCCATTACTGTATTTATGGTCTTAATTCCTGAAAGATTATTCTTTAACAAGGTGACTAAGTACAGGAACAATGCCTTCTAAGACATTTTAAATTCTGACATCAATAAATCCCCAAAGGAAGTAGAAATGTTTGTGACAGTGGTTCAAAACATGGTAGGTAGCGTGAGTACAGAAAGAGACAATTGAAGCCAGCAGTGGCTTAAATAGTAGTATATGGAATGAAAACTGTACACATAATCATAGATTACAGTTTGTGAACTGGACAAAAGTAGTTTACAATGGAGAGATGTCAAAGCAAGAGAAATTAAAAACTATTTTTTAAGATCCTATATAGAAACCTTGCAAAATAAACTGGTAAAAAAAAATTGAGTGAGCTACTAAAATAAGGGAAATTGTTCCAGTCACAAATGGAATTAATAACCAGTGATGACTGAGAGAATCAGTTTGTAATAGTTAGTATACAATGTTTAGACAATTCCGCTGTATGGTAATCAGTTTACATTTTTAAAAAAAAATTATATTGTTTATCCACCAGATGGAGATTTTAGATCTTTACTAAAATCTAAAAGTCTGAATATTTTAGTGAGATGTTGAATGAAGTTTTTGTTGAGAATAGCTATGTGAGCAAGAATGGATCATAACAGATGCAGTAGTTTGCTATATGGTAGAAGATGGGCGATGGAAGGAGTTGGCTTAGTGTGTGGTGATCCTAATATTCACCCTAGAGTGAAATATGTGGTGACCCTAATATAACAAAGCCTTTCTATTCCTTGCTTTGCAGAATAATAACTGCAGAATAACAGAAAATAATCTGACTTGCAGCTGTCAAACCTTTTTAGATAGCGGAATGTGAGTAAAGTGCAGTTCCCACAAGATAGCGTTTTCATTTATTGCTGGCAGTACATTAAGATATCCTCCATGCTCTGTAGGTGTTGGTGTGACAATTCAAATCTTTTCAGGGCACCTTTTGTATTCTGGTAAATAGCAATAATTAAGACGGACTTTACACTTTGTGGGATATTAAGTAAAATGCTTTGACACTCTTCCAATTCCCAAATTGTTGCCAATAACTTATACAGATCTAAATCCTGAGTATTGAGGATAAACTTCAAATATGTAAATATTACAAAGCAAGGAATAGAAAGGCATATTAATAATGTTTCTTACAGGACTCTTTTCAAAGAATCAATGACATCTTCAGCAGCAGCCTAAATGTGTTCAGATGATAGAGTGAAACGTGATGACCCTATTTAGTTATATGATTTATAAGTTATATCAGGATTTATGAATTCTAAACATTTCAGTTTTAATTTCATATTAGAGGAAGTAATTTATTATGGTACAACATTTTAGTATGCTAATGCATGTGGGCTATATAGTGTTATAATGCAACTGCAGAGCATGAAAAAAAAAAGAGATTCAATCTCAATTCAATCTTGAAGCAAATAGCATCAATGTATTTCAGAGAAATCATGAGGGCCACGGAATACAGAGGTATAGGTGAGGAAAATAGGAATCTTGTATGGCGGGGTCTTGTGTGGAATATAAACACTGACATGGACTTGTTGAGCTGAATGGCCAGTTTTTATGTCAAATAATTTTATGTAATTATATGTAACTCATGTACTGCTTTAGGCAGTACATGGGTTACATATAACATATATCGGATCAAGTTGCCCCTCCATTCTCTTGGTCAAGAAATGATACAAGGTATAGAGGGCCATCTTATCAAAAAAAGAGTCAAGTATATGTTTGGGGAAAGAGAATAAATTATAGCTTAGAAACATGCAGATCATGTATGTGGCTACTTAAATCTAGAATGAAAACACAGATTTATTGCTCCTTTCACTCTCATCAAAACTTACCGATGTCTGGACCATCATGGCTCGTTGATCTCTCATTGTTCTCACAATATCTAAAGGGTAGACAGGTTGGTTGTTTTCAATTAAACACGTGGCTGTCTCCATAGCAACCAATACACCAGTTCGACCAATTCCAGCACTGTAAAGAAAGAAACAGCTGAATTCAAATGAGGTACAGAATAGAGGTGAAGAATGAATAGAGTAAAAATCTTTTATGTAGCTCTTGTTACCCTGTGAACATCTTAATATTGCACAATAAAGTTTTGTAAGATTAAAGCAAATTGAAACATATAATCACCAACAGGTTTACAAATGTATTTTGAAAATGGAACTCATAATCATAAAGTTTACGTTTTTGCAGTAGCTGCAAAATAATTCTGCACATTTTTATTAAAAAATCAGAAAAATTAACAGAACATAAAGGATGAAAAAGTTATCCTTCACTAAATTAATTATCTTGTTGTGTCTTCAAATTGTATTTGAATAACCAGAATTCTGTTGCCTCTATTATCCTATGTGTCTGCATATGCAAGTACATTTGGTCTGGTGACCACAGCATTCTTGGTCTGCAGTGCATTGTAAATAATTGTAGGTATCAGCTTGGCTCACTTGGAAGCACTGTTGCTTTTGGATCAGAAGATTGTCAGTTCAACAACAACAAATTGCATTTATTTAGTGTCTGTCACTTTTGAGATGACGTCCCAAGGTGCTGGACAGTTAAGGATTTGCACCCGAGTTGGGGGTTAGAATCAAGAGGGGTGGAGGCCAAGAGGAATGGGGGTGGGAGGATTACCAAGGTACAGTCAAAGAGGAAGGTCTTGAGATGGGGCATGAAGGAGGCAAGGGAGGGGGCAAGGCTAAGGGATTGCAGGCTGGCATTCCAGAGGGTGGGGGTAGAAAGGCTGAAGACCCAACTGGACTGCCGATGGTGGAGTAGGCAGGGGACCCAGAGCAGGCTAGTTCCCACTAAGTAGTGGGAGAGGGATGGTTAGTAAGGTGTTAGTAAGTCCCAGTGGTAGGGAGAAGAAAGACCATGGAGGGCTTTGAAAGTGAAGCCAGGATAATAATAATCCTTGGATTTGATACAGCGCCTTATCATGTCTTCGAGACATCTCAAAGCGCTTCACAGAATATGCTGTAAAATGAATTGATTGTATATTTTGTGGGCAAAACCCGACACTGAGTTGCGTACAGCAGTGTCCCACAAACAGTTGTGGATTGAGTGATCAATTTATTATTTTTTTGAAGGAATTACTACCCATGGAAAAGCAAACTGCCAATCGACTAATAATTGGGTTCCTACTTACTGCTAGGTAAACAGAGGCATGTGGAATAAAGAAACTTGCCCAACGTTTCGCCCTGCCAGAAATCAAACCTAACTCTCTCGCTTGGAAGGTGAGTGCTCTAGCCACTGAGCTACAGGGCTCCACTGCAGGATAGAATGGGGATAATCGCTCATGGAGCTTGGTATGAAAGAGGAACATGAGCTGCAAAATGCTGAATAATCTGCAGCTTGTGGAGGGAACATTTGGCATGTCCGGCGATCAGAGAGTTAGTATCTGATGAAAGCATGGACGAGGTTCTCGGCGGCCTGAGGGGAGTGGTTGTGGCGGAGGCAGGAAACATTGCGCAGTTGGGAGAAGGCAACAACAACAAATTACATTTGTATAGTGCCTTTCATGTTGAGAGGACATCCCAAGGCGCTGGACAGTCAACGATTTGCACCCGAGCTGGGAGTTGGGATAAGGAGGGGTGGTTCAAATGTTTAAAAGTTTGGAGATTTTAAATTGCATAAGTTTGAAAATTAAGTTTTCATAGACACTTTCTTGGTTAAAAACTGAAATAAACAATAAAACTCATGCAACAAAAGTCTTTCCTCAGCATATCAGATATGTACAGATTACTACTCATAAATCCTTGGGTGCTGGTGGCTAATATGTAGCAACAAGCTGGTACAGTAGCATTATTAAACCATTAGCATAAAACATATTCACAGCAGCTCATTAAAATTGGGAAAACTTAGTTTGCAAAGGCAATTTTGTTCATTCAATGTAAGTGATCAAATTATTTATCATGAACTGAAATTTTTTAAAATAATTGAACATTGAGGTTCCAACAAACTGGAAAGAACAAACCTAATTCTCATATAAGAGAAAAGTGACAGCCAAATTAGCCATTACAGACCCATTGGCCAGACAATAATAATTGGAAAACTAATGGAATCAATCATAGGCAAAAAGGAACAGAACCTGTATGAAAATAACTGAACTGCATCTAATGATGGCTTCTGAAAGGTTAGATGGTGATTGAGCAAACACTTTAAGGAAGGGATATTTAAAATTGACAGTGGTAAGTCACATAGTATCTAAATTTCCAATAGGCCTTTGGCAAAGTACTGTCAAAGAGATTAATTTATAAAGCTAATGTTAGTAGGTATCAAATATAATACATACATATGGTTTAGTAACTGATGAAAGAAAAGCAAGCAGAATGTAGTCATACAACAACTTGCATTTATTTAGTGGTCTCAAATCACTACCTAAGTACAGTGGTGTACATCAAATAGAGAAATAAGGAATGTAAAGGCTCAGCCACTGATATTAGACCAAATGGAGTAGTGGTCACAGAATAGGCTAAAATTGGATGAGCAGAGGATATGGGTGGGAATACCAAGTTGAAAAAGATTGAGTAGGTATATAAGAGTGAGGCCATGGAGAGATTGGAACGGGGTAAGGATCTTAAACTGAATCCTCTGTGGTATTGGGAACCAATGGAGGTAATAGGTGTGTAGGAGAAAACTCAGGGTGCAGAGTTGTAGATCAGCTGAAATGTTTGGAGAATGGAACAAGGGAGGCCAGCAAAGAGAACATTGAGACATTATATCCTTGAGGTAATGAAAGCAGGGATTAGGAATGCAGCAGCAGGAATGAATCTTGGCAATGAACTGGGTATGGGAATTGGAAAAAAAAGTTCTTCAAATAAATGACAGGGGATTTTAAGTGAGAACCACTTAAAATGGCTTCAGTCTTGTGAATAAAGGCATTTACTTGTGGCTGACGTGGCAGTGAGAAAGTAGTTAGTACTGTTTTAGCAAAACACATTGAAAGTTTCAATAATAGACATTAGAAGGTTAAAAGGGACATCTATTTGTGATGATCAATTATATAACCCAGCTTGATTGGTTTCCAAGCAAATCTCCTTAGCTAAATTGGCATAATTTTGAAGGTCAATATCAATAGTTTGTGATATCATTAGCTGATCTAAAACATATTTGACTATCTTTCAATATTCCTATTAACAAGTCAAGTATTCCTATGGGCAGTGACAAAGATCAATATTCAGTACATAAGTATTTTACTTTAGTCTGTCAGAGTAATTTACCTTGAGCGAATAATTTGACAAAAGCACTAATTGTTGGAAACTGTTGACAAGATAATTCTTCTGCCCATATTTGGAATAGCTAATTGAATCAGTGAGCTTTTATACACAAGATTGAATGTACCAAATGCTCATAAAATCTATGCAATTATGAACCTGCATTAAATTTAACATTTACCTAACACAGCCTTACCTCAGTCACCATTAATATAATAGTAATATTAATATGGTACAAAAAGCTTTTGATAGACACACTGGAATATTGAAAAGTTAATAGGAAACTGTTACTAATTGCAGCATAGGTCCTCATTTGATATCAGAAGTTAATACTATACCACTGAGGTAACAGAGGGAGAGTCAAGTATGTTGGGAATTACCTCAGCATTTTTTCTCCACTGTGCATAATCTTCTTTTGCACTGAACATAAAACAATTACCTGCAATGAACAATAACTGGCTCATTCTCCCTTTTGATTCTTTTCTGTCGCACACGAGTCACAAAGTCAAAGAAATCTGTTGAGTCGTCAGGAACACCATGGTCAGGCCATGTTACGTATTGAAGATGACAAACATCACGCTCCTCTCCTGTCTGCAGCAATAAAAAAAAGTAGATTATCTTAAAAATATAACCTTTCAGTGCCTTCTAAATTCATAAATATTTTACTTATGGGTGCACTAAACAAAAAAGGCTGTGAGTCGAAAGCCAGAAGTCAAATGGTATGGGCTTGGCTTTAGGAATTTCACCACTCAGAATGGTGTTGCAAGGGGAGGGGGAAGGGAAAACACAGAAAGTGAGATGAGTCCATCTCCCATGGAGATGTGATAAATATTGAACGTACCACTGAATTGGCTGTGCTTCCATGCTAAATTGGCACTTCTCTGGAACTCCATCCCAGAATCCCTCCAACTCCCTCCCTCAAGGTCTGTCTCAAGATCCATCTCTTCGACCGTGCTTTTGGTTATCTTTCCTCTCCCCAGCCCCCCTCAGCTCCCAGCCCCCCTCAGCTCCCAGCCCCCCTCAGCTCCCGGCCCCCCTCAGCTCCCAGCCCCCCCTCAGCTCCCGGCCCCCCTCAGCTCCCGGCCCCCCTCAGCTCCCAGCCCCCTCAGCTCCCGCCCCCCTCAGCTCCCCCCCCTCAGCTCCCGCCCCCCTCAGCTCCCAGCCCCCCCTCAGCTCCCCAGCCCCCCCTCAGCTCCCCAGCCCCCCCTCAGCTCCCAGGCCCCCTCAGCTCCCAGGCCCCCTCAGCTCCCAGGCCCCCTCAGCTCCCCCCCCAGCTCCCCCCTCAGCTCCCAGGCCCCCTCAGCTCCCAGGCCCCCTCAGCTCCCAGGCCCCAGCCAGTACTGTAAAGTGCTTTGCACATCCTCCCAAAGTGAAAACCTCTTTATAAATGCAAAATGTCAAGAATTCCCAGATCAACTTGACTCCATTATGCTGAGACAGTCAAGATAACTGCAGCATTTAAAATGAATGACAATCTGTAAAACTGGTTGTAGGGATTTTAACTATTGCTTGGAATTGTAGCTTTTGGACTATATTGCTCAACTCGCTAATACCAGCAGAAGTACAATCTGACACACAACAACTTGCATTTATAAAGTGCCCTTACACGAGAAGCATCTCGGAGTGTTTAAATAACATACAAAGTTATTGCACCCAAAAATATACAGTCAATTCACTTTACAGTCTATTCTGTGAAGCGCTTTGAGACGTCTAGAAGACGTGAAAAGCGCTATATCAAATGCAAGGATTATTATTATTAGATATTGAGCAAATAATTAAGGTCATAAAGCAGCAATTCTAGTTTTAACACTTTTAACACTTGGAGAAGGAAAAGGCAGTGGGCTGGGGGGAGATAGAGACTCTTTATAATACATTAATGAGCCAGACAAACTCCAGAATGATTATAGTTATAGATATTGGATGAATGGTTTCTTTGGAGCTGAGCTGGCTTAAAGGTGACATACTTGCTAATGAATGTCAGAATTGAGCCAACCCTCTGTGGCAGTCTCAGCAGTCTGATTCCTAGTCAAACAGGTCTGCAGTACTCCAAGGCACCGCTGATGACACACCAGCCAGCGTATCAGGACAGGAACTGGAGGGGCAGGCAGTCACGGGAACAGGGATTCTTCCCATTTGGTTCCTGTTAACCGTGCAAGCCAATGTCCTATCAGATAGGGTGCTCCCAGCTCGATAAGTGGTGACCTGATTACCAAAAAGTTGGTCATTTTTATTCTGGGAAGCCAGCAGGCTTTATGTGCGTATTTGCTGTGAATGGACCTGGAATCCAAGTTCATGAACATGCATTGGTACATCCAGCGCCTGGAATCCACCTTGATTGGCTTGCAGAAAGGTAAGCAGCTGCTACTTAAGCTCCTTACCTCCAACTGGTGGAATCATTGCTCAATGGGAAGGGATATGTGTCCGAGCTGCGGACAGGAAGATGGTTGCAATGCTCTTGTGCTTTTCATGCTGAGCTGTGTTGCCCACAAGAAAGCTTGGAAGGAGTTGCTGCTACCTACTATCCACCCGGTGATGTCAAATGACCAGCTAGTGACTGTTCTGCTGGTGCGGTGGGGGGTAAACAGGGTCTCCTTGGAGCTGAACTGGTTCCCAGGTGACATGTTCGGCAACAAATAATAATAATCCTTGCATTTGACATAGCGCTTTTCACGTCGGGAGGTCGTCCCAAAGCGCTTCACAGAACACACTGTAAACAACAACAACAACAAGATTCCATTTATAAAGCGCCTTTCACGTCAGGAGGACGTCCCAAGGCGCTGCACAGTTGGGTCATGACCCGAGCAGGGGGGAAATGGTCAGGGTGAGGGGAGGGAAGGGAGGGAGCGAGGAGCGGGGAAATGGTCAGGGTGAGGGGAGGGAAGGGAGGGAGCGAGGAGGGGGAAGAGAGTCGAGAGGGGAGCTGAAGGCACGGTCAAAGAGAAAGGTCTTGAGACCGGCCTTGAAGGAGGAAAGGGAGGAAGCGGCGAAGGCACTGGGGGATGGAGTTCCTGTATTTGTGGGTGAACGCAGCAGCCAATTGCGCACAGCAATGTCTCACAAACAGTCGTAGATTGGAAATGACCAATTTATTATTGTTTTTGGTTTTGGAGGGATTATTATTAGGCGTGTGGAGTAAGGAAACTTGCCCGGAATTGAACTCAGGTCTCTCGCTTGCAAAGCGAGTGCTCTAACCACTAAGCTACAGGACTCCACAATGTCAGAATCGACCCCACCGTCTCAGTCGGCCAATTCCTGAGCCAGGTGAGTCCAGTTTTCCAGAGCAATGCTGAACGCTGATGACAGCATAGCCAGCTTGGCTAGTTGGCAGGGCTTGGAAAGGCAGACCAGTCACTGAGGGAAGGTACGCTTCCCACTCAGCACCTGTTAACCCTGCAAGCCATAACCCTAACGGGTGGAGTGGTCCTAGCTGGACAAGTAGCTAACCAGACAGTGCTATCAATAGCAAGCTATGTGGTTTTAGCTGCTTAGACCCCAATACACAATCTGGGGTCACCAAGCCTGGACTCTTGCCAACCTGCGTCTTAGACTTTCCAAATTAAGTAAGCAGGATGCGTCCTTCCAGGGAAAGAGTGCTCACCCCATTCCAACAATCTATCTCTGGAATTTCCATTCAGAGGTGGGATGCATGGAATTCTCATGCATCCCCCCAAAAATTGTAGAAGCACTGATCAGCAATTATACTTCATTATCATGCCCGCAGATTGGGCTGTTATAGAGGCCACCCCACCCCAACCATTACCATCTTATAACAGAGCTCTACTGTATGTAATAACAATGCCGATTTTACAGTGACTAATCCAGCCTCCACATTTTGCATGTTGTCGCCAAATGTTTGATGAGACTGATGTTCTATCATAGAAAAACAAAATGCGTTTTGCCAATAGCATATAAGAAAGTGATCATCTTAATGCAAGAAGGGTTACTTGCAGTGCTGAAGTTGTAAATGGTTAATTAGAAAGGATACCAGATAATTATTGCATAGTTTAAGTTTAATCCCTATTACTGGAAAATATTTTATAAATTCTCCTTCACTGAAATGGTTTAGCTCAATACCACAGGTGTATTTTATACATCTGCAGAGATCTAAGTACGAACAAGCTTTTTACGGCTCACTGCTCTCATTTTGTATTGGATAATCAAAATCTAATTAGAACTGAACTTTTTGTGATTCAAAATATGATCCCATTTGTGCAATCCTCAGCCTTGGGGATTCCATGTGCTAAAAAAAAAAACAATGGTTTCTCATCTTCTTAATACTCTGAAATTCAGCACTAGATTATTGTGATACCATTAAATTATTGAAATCATTATTCCTGATCCATTAAGTAAAACATAAAAATGTTGCAATGTGAACACAATATAAAGACAATAATAAAGAGTGAAGACAGAAAATGCAAGATACTTTGTATTGGAAGTAATATTAGGAGGCTCACGTAGAACTATGAATGGGATAGAATTTGCCAAGGGAAAGGGGCAGGGAGATATTAAAAGTTGCTGGTTAACTTGCCCACACTATTTCCAAGTAGATGAGATAAGTGTAAACAAGACAAGCAGGAGAATCAGCTACATTTCCACATTCTGCCGGATATGACACATAAAGAAACTCATCACCATGCTTAAGAGTATCCAAACTAGACTTCTACTTGGAACTATAATCCTACTATTTGAAACAAGAAAGGAGTTTCTTAGTATCCTGGCCACTAACATTGAGATTTTTTTTAAAGAGGTCAAATTCCACTTACGCATGGAAATGGAATGCGGAACTGCCTGGAGAGACGCACCCTGCTTACTTAATTATTGAGAATATTAGGGGCAGGTTGGCAAGACCCAAGGCTTGGAGACCCCAGAGTGTGTTGCTGGAATTTAACTAGGTAAAAGTTGCATAGTTTGCTATTGAGAACACTCCCTGGGAAGCTTCCCATTGCTTGTTCAACTGGAAACTCTATTAGTATTTTGCCTTGTGGGAGGTAAACAGGAGCCGAGTGGGAAAAAATCCCTGCGCCCAGTGACTGATCTGCCTATCCAAGCCTTGCCAATGAACCACGCTGACCAGTTTATTGGCAAAATGTCAATTTCTGTCATCAGCTGTACACTAGAGTACTTCAGACCTGCTTGGATCAGGAACCAGATTACTGAGTCTGCTACAGTGAGTTGACCCTATTCTGATATACCGTGGCCAAGCACATCATTTTGGAGCCAACTACATACAAGGAGACCCCACTTAGTCTTTGCTTCCCTCCCACAACGTTGTATTTATGGGTGAATAGGATAATCACTAGTTGGTCATTTGACATTTGACCCCTCACTTGATGAGCACATCTCAGCATTAAATGCATGAGAACATTGCCTACATTCTCTTTCCCAAATCTCGGACACATCAAAATTCAACCCCCAAATGTCATGCTAAGATGCGCTATTAGGCTGCATTTGAAGGACTAAATACAGTTCTGGTAATTGCACCATAGGGGGACTGCCAAGACCACAGATCCAGAAGAGAGGAGGATATGCAAACACAAGATAGAAACAGAATGTGAGAAATAGCATTAGGGATCATTGATAATCCAAGGCTCTGCAGCTATGAAAAGGCACCTCTCCAGTGTACTCACTCTCTTAAATGCATCCAGCATCGTGGTCTCAAGGCACATTTTCTGGTAATCTGTTCTTCGTGTTAATTAATCCCTTTCTAAATAAATATTTCCTGCTGTCTATCCTGAAATTGCTTTTCATAGTCCCAAACCTGTGCCCTCTTATTTCGCTGTTTTGTTGTATATAATAATAATAATCTTGCATTTGATATAGCGCTTTTCACATCGGGAGGATGTCCCAAAAGCGCTTCACAGAATATACTGTAAAGTGAATTGACTGTATATTTGTGGGCGAACGCGGCAGCCAATTGCGCACAGCAATGTCTCACAAACAGTCGTAGATTGAAAATGACCAATTTATTATTGTTTTGGGTTTTTTGGAAGGATTATTATTAGGCTCTGTGTGGAGTAAGGAAACTTGCCCAAGGTTTCGCCCTCTGCCTGGAATTGAACTCAGGTCTCTCACTTGCAAAGCGAGTGCTCTAACCACTGAGCTACAGGACTCCACAATATCAAGTTTTCTAGGTTTATTATTGCAATCCCATTTAATTAATAAAAGGCAAAAATCAATTTTCATTATTGTAATCATTACTTCATATATTTAGATATTGGTTCCTGGTTATCCTGAACAAAAGATCTAATTGTATTTCTGAAACATCTTCAAATTATGCAGAAATCCACTAAAATAGTTCAACTCATTTTATCTGTGTCACGTTGAGTACTCTATCAAATCCTACTCAACCTGCTTAAATCCTCAAAAAGGTTGCAAGATATCTCATTATGATAAGAATGTGTTTGATTGAAGAATAAAATATAGTAACCTTAATACCATATATTTTTGCTTTTACAAACCATAAATGAGAAAACGTTTTACTAACGACTCCTACCTCTAAATTTGTCAGCATCATTTCTCGGAACACATAGGCAATGCCATAGTTTTCGGTATGACACGTGACCTGAAAGTTGCCATACTTGCATACGTCTTGTAGATCAGGCCAGTACTGGTGACATTTTACCTATCATAAAAAAGTAAGCCAAAGTACAAAGTCATTCAAAATGAGGTGAGAAATCTCACATCTTTCCACAGATAGCATTCCCTGCCCTTCAACTAAGTAACAACAACAACAAGATAACATTTGTATAGTGCCTTTCACATCGGGAGGACGTCCCAAGGCGCTGGACAGTGTACAGCATTTCAGACCCGAGCTGGGGTCAGGGAGGGAGAAGGGAGGCGAGGGGAAGGGGGGTGACCGATGGCATGGTCGAAGAGAAGGGTTTTGAGGCGGGACGTGAAGGGGGCTAAGGAGGGGATGAAGCGGAGTGATTGGGGGATGGAATTCCAGAGGGTGAGGCCAGAGTGGCTAAAGGCTCTCACACCAATGGTCGGTCGGTCTGTCTGTCCGTCCCTTGAACTATTTAGCTCAGTTTACATCTACCCCATCATAGTCAATGCTGTTCACCAGTAGGTATTTATACATTTACTTTTTGAGATAATGAAAATAGCACTATTGCTGTTCTGAGCCTGTTCCACATATCTGTGGGAAGAACAATTTTCTAATTTCTAATCAGAATTGAGGTTTGTTGAGATTAAACCTGGGTCCTCCAGTTTTATTCTCTCAGTCCAGCATACTATGAATCATTGTGTGTAGCATCATTGTAATACTGTGATATACAAAATACAGGATATCCAAAACAGTGGATCTGCAAATAGTTAATTCCCTATTCTGAGCTTTATCCTTTTATGATCACCTTCTACTTGCTGATGTCAGGCACATGTATTCCTGTTTCATCAAATGCTATTTTTCCATTTCTTGGAGTTTGAACCTCCCTGAGGACTCACATGCAGAACTTTTATCAAACGTTCTCTAAACATTTGAGTAAATGCCAGATCAGTTACCCACTTAAAGAATTCCAGTAGATTTTTGCGGCATGACCTGTTGCTTAAAAATCCATGTTGACTATACCTTATGGACTGTGTTCTTTAAAGCATATTCTTTGGATCCTGTATAATGGTTCAAGCATTTACTCACTGCAGATGTAAAGATAACTAATCGAGTTATTCATAGGCACATGTCTTATTCCTTTTTAACCAACAGTTAAATACTTGCATTTGCTAATCAACAATTAATAACACTTGCTCGTCTCTGATCCTGAATAAACGCCTCCAGTGTTCGCGGAGTTCCTAAAAATAGGAACCAGACTATTGCACTACTTCTTCATATTATGTTATGATGTGCATAATGAAAGAGATGCACTGTAATCACAAGGAATTATTTTCTTGATTAGCCTGTTTAAAACTGCTTAGCCACAATTTCCATGAAGATGGCCAATAATAGTACGGTCAGCAAACTCAGAACAATTTGCAGAAGGTAGGTGAAATCATTAGCTTTATACTGAATGCAATTTCACTCTAGTTACAATGGGCTAAAGACAAATACTGAACCTGGTTTTAATGTATTGTCCTAACTGCTAATAATAGCCCTGTTTGTGAGGTGGAATCCTACACAATATGAAATAATACAGAACACATTTCCAACAGTGCCTTGAGATATCCTTCCCACATGAATCACGCTAAATAAATACAATTTGCTGTTATTTTCAACAAAACTATTTTAAAAATATGTATTTATAAAGTATTTTTAATTAATATTTAGTGATCCAACTGACTCCATTATATGATTACAAATCAAAGTAATGTAAAATGTAAATCTGTACCATGGTCTGACAGTCTAATACAATATTTAAATTAAATTTGTATGAATAAACTTTTAAAAAGTTCAAGCTTCATTTTCTTTAGAATGAAATACTTGATTTAGAATGAATCATTATTTCTTAGCAGCTCTCATAGAATAGGTAGAATACTAATGACTTACAACTCAGTAAAGAACTCTGAGTTATCCTGAAAGTCCTTCACTTTGATTATTGTCTCATCAGAATAACATTGTTATTTTATGTGATCAATAAAGTCCCAAAAAGGAGCAATATTTCTTAATAGAAACAGAATACACTTACGCGCCCTCGTTCTGTCAGTGTTGTTAACATTACAACAAGAGAAGATTGCTGATTCCAGATTGTCTGCCAAAAATATGGGCAGGTATGAGGAAGTGGACCTTGGCATGCTATGTACCTATTTAGAATACTTGTACCAGAGACTTCCATCTGCAAAGATAAAAACATTTTTTTTACATAGAAATATGTACTAGTACTCTATACTCTTCATTACACAAAATTGAAATAATGTTAACTGATAATTTTTAATTTGGACAAAACAAAATGAATAATTATTAGATCAAAAAAGCTTCAAAACCTACATTTACATAATTTGCATTGATGTAATCTTCTGATCCATCTAGGACGACTCTTGTTACATCATCTTTATAAAAGAAAATAAATTACAGGCAATATTTCCAAAGAACAAAACAGTTGTCACTTCTCGTTTTCTTTGACAAAGTTTAATACATTTCAATATTAGTTTGGAGGGATTGTTTTAGATTAAAATAAATTACATAGATTAACTTTTACAACAAGATGGAATTAGTGGTAAATATGTCAATACACAGATATAGAGCACTTACATGGCAATACATCTTTATAACGGTTTTTGTCCATGTTTTGTGGTAACTTTGCACAGGTAATTGCCATTCCAGGTTTTTTCCTGTATAGTTGCTACAAAATTAAATAAAGGGTTAGCATTTAAATTAGCCCAGGAATCGTTTCTCCAGCAAGTTAAAATCTTAAATATAAAAAAAACACACTTTATATATTTAATCTTATCATACCAATGAACACCAAGGTAGCAGATGGTGACTAGGGGATCCAAAAGAGAATTTAGGAGGAACTACTTCATGCAGATGGTAATGAGATTGTGAAACTCACTGCCTGAAGCGGCTGGTTGAATCAGATATCGTAGATGCATTCAAGAGGAAGCTAGACCTTCACATGAGGGAGAGGAGAATAGAAGGAAATGGGAGGGAGTAAGGAATGAGTTAAGACTCGAGTGGAGTATAAACACTGGCAAGGACTGGTTGGACTGAGTGGCCCGTTTCCATGCTGTAAATTCTCTGTACATCCAAATGCAGGGAAAGATTTGATCACGTTGCCCCTAACAGAACTTTATGAATTCTAGAACCACATTACGTTTCCTACACCTGGTGTGTATAACCACACCTTAGTTCTTTGTCTCCCACTGTCAGGAATTTTTTTTGACCTTTTTAAAAAAATCTGAATGTTGGTGGCCATGACACTGTAAGAAACTCCTTTCTTGTTTCAAATGGTTCCATGGGATAAAAATCTTCCTCATTTTAGCTAATATATTGTTATCTTAGTGTTGAGTTAATATTGTAATCCCAATCATTATTCTGTTCAAATTGTACTAACTCACACATTGAAATATTAAACTTTATTGTCTGTAGTCTTGCCCAGACACTCATCTACCTGCATCTTTGCATTTTTCCTCTTCTCTTCACAATTTACAACATCTCCTAGTTTAGTGTTGGGTAATTAATATATAGAGTGAAAAGCTGGAGACCCATATAGTCTCATACCCACTATTATCCCAAGTGAATTTACTATGCTGCATGACTCTCTCCACCTCTATCATATTGTTTCTGAATTGAAGAACCCAAATTAATGCAAGATTCCAACTGTGACCTAACCTACGACCTATAACAAATCTAATAGAATTTTTCAATGAGGTAACGGAGAGGGTGGACAAAGGTAGTGCAGTTGATGTAGTTTATATGGACTTTCAAAAGGCATTTGACAAAGTGCCACATGAAAGACTTGTAAGAAAGATAGAAGCCCATGGTATAAAAGGGACAGTGGCAGCATGGATCCAGAACTGGCTGGGAGACAGAAAGCAGAGAGTTGTGGTGAACGGCTGCTTTTCTGACGGGAGGGAAGTGTACAGTGGCGTCCCCCAGGGATCGGTATTAAGACCACTACTCTTCTTAATATACATAAATGATCTGGACTTGGGTATAGCAAGCACCATTTCCAAGTTTGCGGATGACACAAAGTTAGGTAGGGTGGTAAACAGTGAGAAGGATAGGAGCCAACTGCAGGAAGACATAGACAAAATGGGCAGACACATGGCGGATGAGTTTCAATGTGGAGAAATGCGAAGTAATGCATATTGGTAGAAAGAATGAGGGGAGGCAATATAGGTTAGGTAATACAATCTTAAAGGGGGTAAAAGAACAGAGTGACTTCGGGGTGCAGGTAAATGAATCCTTGAAGGTGGCAGGACAGGAAGATAAAGCTGTAAAAAGGGCATATGGGATACTAGGCTTTATAAATAGGGGCATAGAGTACAAGAGTCAGGAGGTTATGATTAACCTATATAAAACACTGGTTAGGCCTCAGTTAGAATACTGCGCCCAGTTCTGGGCACCACACTATAGGAAGGATGTTAAGGCATTGGAAAGGGCGCAGAGGAGATTTACAAGGATGGTACCAGGAATGAGGGACCTTGATTATGAGGAAAGGCTGGAGAGGTTGGGATTATTCTCACTGGAGCAGAGAAGGTTACGAGGAGACCTAATAGAGGTCTTCAAAATCATGAGGGGACTTGATAGGTTAGAAAGGGAAAAAACGTTTCCACTGGTAGGTGTGTCGGTGACTTGAGGTCACAGATTCAAAATAGTATCTGAAAGAAGCAGAGGGGAGGTGAGAAGACATTTTTTCACGCAACGAGTTGTTCGAATCTGGAACGCATTGCCTGAAAGGGTGGTCGAGGCCGATTCAATACCAACTTTTAAAAACGGGGTGGACGGGTATTTGAGGAGGACGGGTTTGCAGGGTTATGGGGAAAGGGCTGGGGAGTAGGATTGACATTAATTGCTCTATTCAAAGAGCCGGCACAGACTCGATGGGCCGAATGGCCTCTTTTTGTGCTGTACAATTCTATGATTCTATAATTATATTCCAATATAATTTCCCCATTTTTATATTCAATATCCTAGTTTGAAAATCCTAATATAATATTCTGAAAGGGTTACTCAGTGAACCCTTCAATTTTGTTCTTTTGACATCTGGGGATAATAATCCTTAAAAAAAAAGAATTTAGTCACTCAATCAACGACTGTTTGTGGGACACTGCTGTGGCGATTGGCTGCTGCATTTCGTCCACAAATATACAGTCAATTCACTTTACAGTACATTACGTGAAAAGTGCTATATCAAATGCAATGATTATTATTATTCATCTGCAAAAACCTTCCTACATGTTATCAGTCCTTTAACTGTAAAAACAGAAATAGTCGATTTAAATATCATACATTATGCTGGCTGAGGTTACTTTGTAAGAAGTTTACTTATCAGTATACTGAATACACACAGGAATATATATGAAATGTATCTATAGTTCCCATTTAACTGAGGCCACAGTTTGCTACATTGAATCTGTGATACATTCCTATTACTACACAAGTCAATATTACAATTCGTATTTCTTAATCAATCATCCAAAAATAAGTTACTGACGTAACATGATACATCTCAGCTGAAATATAAATTGTTTGATGTCTCCTTAAATACTAAAGTGTTGAATCTCATTTGCAACTTAAGTAACAGATGAATGTTTACATATTTACTGATCACTTTAAAATAGCAATATTCAATAGAGGTCTGATATTGTTATTCTAAGCCAAGAGTACAACTTGAATTTAAATAGACAGAGGTATATATTCAGAAAACATAATAGTCTATAATCTATGAAACAATAAGGATGAATTCATTAATACTGTAACTCTTCACTAAAATTAACTTCAACTGAAATCTCAACAACAATAACTTGCTTTTATATAGCCCCCTACATGCGGGGTCGCATCTTGGAGTGTGAAATTGCAAATATCTCATTGAAAGCACTGTGGTTATTTAATAACTTAAAGAATTTATACAAGCAAATTTATTCTCAAGATTAAATACTGACAATCACTCCACCGAACAAGCATGATTACATTTTGATTTGTACATTCCAGAAACACTCACATATGAATAATATCCACAATTGTAAAATGAAAATGGTCACTTACTAGGTTGTTACTTCAGTGAAGACAAATATTACATTTATTGAAGTAAAATACTTTAGGTGCAACAGAGAATGAAGTAACTTACATCAAACTGGTTAAGTATAGCTCCACTTTCCAGTCCTTTTCTAAGTTGGATCATGGATTCCTCCAATGAATCACCATATTCAGGATATGAGACACGCTTTGAATTATTCGGAAAATACTGGAGATCTGTCTCATCTTTCATCTTGTCCTCCATATGATTATGCGTAACTAAAAATTATAAGAGATTTAATTTTAATGTATTCTAGTAAACTGCTTCAGTGACTTACAATTCAGTTTTGAGAAGTGTGATGGTTGAATGGCAGAAAGTAAAAATAAGGGTAAAAAGAGGTCAGATGAAGTGAATGGGGTTGGGGTTCAATAATATATTATATATGTTGTTAGACAACAGGTCAAGTTCAATGTTTAAAAAACGTGAAGTAGTACATTTTGGAAGCAAGATAGGGAAAGGAAACATTACTTAAGTGGTACAGATGAGCTTAGGGAACTTAACATGTGGAAACACAGTCCATTAAATATGGCTTTATAGGTAGATATGGCCATAAAAAGCAAATTAAATCCTTGCTTTATTCCTATAAGAAAACAATACAAAAGCACAGAGGTAATGTTGAACTTGTACCAGATGGCAGTGAGGCCACAGTTGGGAGTATTGGAGCTAAGTGAAGGACAAGCACTTTCCCATGGATTAAATAGGGAACTGGGTGGGCCTCTGATTCCATACATTTATGTCTGTTTCACAGCATCAGTGGTGGAGCTTGAGAAAAGTTCATCAATTCTTGCTCTAAAGCTAGAGAATAAACAAACTAGGGAAAAGATAGGTGCATACTAAAAAAATGTTTTTAAGAATGGGAAGGTGTAGATTGGCACTCAAATTCACCATTAATGCACCTTGGTCTACTGCATTAAACGTCCCTGCATTGGCCAATCCAGTCCGGTTTACATAGCAACGAGACTGCCCCAGTCAAAGTTACAAACAACATTCTCTCCATCTGTAACCAGGGTTTGCTCTGCCTCCTTGATCTCTCCCGATATCTCCTGTTTGGCTCCCATCAGTGCCTTCTCACCTAAGGGCCTGACAGCATTAGTCTACATGGATGCTCACTCCACAGAGCCAGGGCAGAATCTCAGGATCTTGTATGACACCCACATTCAAACATTGTCTTTCAGCTTTCCCTCACTAACTCTCACCACTGGCTGCCGAGACTCTCATTCAAGCTTTCCTCATGTCCGGATTCCCCAGTACATCCCTACACAAGCTGCAGACTATCCTGAACTCTGCTCTCCTGCATCAGGCTCCACGAGCCTATCAAGATGCTTGTTGTCACTTAAATCCCTCTACAGCCTCATCCCATCCCACCTCTGGAATCTACTACAACCCAACTTACCATTCCCTTCACTCAGGAAACACTGGCTTGCTTTATCTCTCCTGCCCATCTGCCCCACCATCAACGTGTGAGCTTTCAGCTATTCTAACCCCGCTCTCTGGAACTCCATCTTGGATTTCCTTCGATTTACTCCTCCCTACGTTCAAAGCCCGCCTTAAACATACCTCTTTGAATGTACTTTTTTATCATCTTTCCCTTCCCAATCCTCTTTTAGCTCCCAAGCACCACCCACCCACCCACCCACCGGGTGCCCAGCCAACAATTTCAAACATTTTGAGACATACTTTTGACATGAAAGGTGCTAAATAAATGTAAAATGTATTGTAAAATAAAAAGGAATCTAGCATTGTATGTGGTGCCTTATGCCTACAAAATGCATCTTAGGACATAAACTGCATTCCTACAGTATATAATAAATAATAATCCTTGCATTTGATATAGCGCTTTTCACGTGTTCTAGACGTCTCAAAGCGCTTCACAGAATATACTGTAAAGTGAATTGACTGTATATTCGTGGGCGAAACGCAGCAGCCAACTGCGCACAGCAGTGTCCCACAAACAGTCGTGGATTGAAGTGACCAATTTTTTTTTGAGGGATTATCATCAGGCTTGTGGAGTAAGGAAACTTGACCAAGGTTTTGCCTTGCCTGGAATTGAACTTAGATCTCTTGCTGAGCTGCAGGACTCCGCAATTGGCTGCTGCGTTTTGCCCATAAATATACAGTCAATTCACTTTACAATATAATCTGTGAAGCGCTTTGAGTCGTCTAGAAGACGTGAAAAGCGCTATATCAAATGCAAGGATTATTATTATTTATATCAAGCTGAGTCACAAAAACTCAACTCCAATTTGAAGTCACCTCAGATACAAGTCAGTGCGATGCACATGAGATTTGCTGCAAGAGATACACTTTACACCCCAAGTGCTTTTTCTTGCTAGAGGTGGTGGTTATCCTGGAGTTGTCCCATTCAAGTGCTTTATCGAATGTTTTTTCTTAAAAAAGTTACATTAGACATGATATTCCACTTACTATATTTCTCCACTTGCTAATAACAGTTACCTTTTCGTCTGACCAGCAGTAAAAGTTCTCTGGAGTGTGATTCTCGGCTTGCTTTTATGAACATAACAACCTGGTCGTGAGTATGTTCTGATATGTCTCTGCCATTAATCAAAAGTATCTGATCTCCTTCAATCAATTTGGGTGTACAAGTATCAGCCTAAAAGGTAAAAGAAAACAATAGGCACAGAATATTTAAATAAATACATATTTCTTAAAATAAGATTGGGAACGCAATTTCATCCAGGATTTTAACTTGGTTATTTCATAATTTTCACTGTATAATGCAGCTGAAATTACGAGAAAAGCAGTCTCCTATTTTAAGTCTTCTTTCAGCAATAGTACGTGTCCTTTGCTATAAATACATTTAAGCATATTAAAAGTAGCACCATTTTCATGGTCCAATATTAATTACTAATCTGGTCTTATTATGGTAATAACATGAATTGATGCACAAATTTGCTAATTAAAGCTGGACAGAATTTTGTCTCTTTCTCAAAACTTTGTATGAAAACTAAAGATGTACTCAAAATTTAACCAAAACCAACAAAAGATTTGTGAGACACTTAAATTGTTCATTGGTTTTATATTTGTGAAGTTCACCTAGCACTTACTACTAATTTTTATTTTATTTTTACGTAGATAATTTAATTCCTCACTGCTGCAGATGTAGAAACACATTTTTATATTATCAAAGATTTTCCTGATCACCAAACACTGCTTCGACAAATATTGTTCTTGGATTTAACAAGCGCAGCTACGACATTATTTTTGCAAACTGACACCCACAAGTAGGACTGAAGGATCGGTTTGCAATCTTCTCATGACTGTCTATTTCTGAAGTTTTTTTTTTTACAGACACACTTGTGCAGGTACACATTATGCCTCAAGACCTTAAGAATGTAATCATTGAAATCTGTTGATTAATTCCAAAATCTAAATGTAAGAAATCTCAATACATTAAATTTCATTTGTCCGTGGAAATTTCCAACAGTGTATAGATGCTATATGGCAGAAAACAAATGTACATGTTGGAGTCAATATATCAATATATTCAATATTTAGCACGTTGAATGTTTATGTCATGAACTGCTCCCACCCATGCCGGTCTCAATGTTGTTGTCCATCAGCCCAGGCATTTAGCATTAGTACCAAAATCTGGCTTGCAGTTAGCAGGTTAATGGCAGTTGAAAAGCTGTGATGTGTGAGGTGAATGTCAAATGCTGTTAGGATCGTTTCATAGACATCAGCATTGAGAATAGTTTAAGGGTGTTGCAAAAGAACTTGGGAGAAAACCGACTTCAAAATTAAGGCTGTATTTAAGAATTTGCCAAATTTCAGGCTCTCTGAAATGGTATGACTAGAGCAAATTTAGACCCAGATGAAATTTTACTCCTTGGATCTTTAGCTAATGCAAAATTAGTTCAGAAACCACACAAATAAATTGTATGTTTGGATCATTACAAACAAAACAAAGAATAGTTTTACTCACAGGTGATCCTAGACTTACTCTTGAAACAATGAGTGGCATTTTCTGATCAACTCCACCCTGAAAGTAAAAGAGGGGATGAGAAGTGATGGAGTGGGTCCAAGAAGCTTGCAGTTGGTGTAAAAGTAATAGTTAATCCTAGATCACTCTTGAGATTGGGCTGTATGAAAATGCACAGATGGAGAAACTTCTAGGACGAACAAACATTATGTGAGCTTTAATGCTTTATTTTAGTGTAGCATTTCACTAATAGCAACCGATACAATTACTTGCAGACTGTATAATATAAAATGTAATTGCACAATGTAATAAGTTAAATTGAATGTATGCCTCTGTTTTGTGTTACAAAGAGGGATTATGTACAATTGCATTGCAGTACATTTACTCGTGGGAGAAAATGTGCGTAGTACAATTTAATTTACAGATTGAGCAAGGAGAGATTTGTTTCATATATAATACCTTTAAATTGAAACCAAACTTTCCTTCTTCATCAGGTGTCATCCGTATCAAAATTATGCAAGCATCATCAAGATCTACATCATTCTGGGAAAATATGAGCAAACAAAAATTACAATGTAATATAAGGAATGAATTCAATATAGGTGTGAGCAAATTGGAGAGATAGGGAGGTGCCTGGGAATTAAATGATTTGTAAACAAGTGTGAGGATCTTGAAATCAATCCATTCTGTAACAGGGAGCCAGAGGACTGTGGCTCCCTGTTACACGTGCACATGAAAAGCCTGTGGTAATGGCGGCACGGAGTTTGGTGCGGGTGAGGATACAGGTGGCGGAATTTTGAATTAGTGTCAACGGCCCCAAAAAATCTCACCTAAACCAATGCATCTCGACCACTATCATCAATAACTTGCTATTCTGATACATTATAATCTCATTCTACACTGATAATGTAATTGAATACTTTCCCCAAACCAAATGCAGTCATTTCCTGATCTTCACCAAGAGATGATGCAGGAAGCAAATCAGCAAAGACAATTTGGCAATAAGTCAATTGGTAATGTCCAAAAGTGCTTCAGGCAGTGGTTATAAATAAAGCCTTCAGTCATCAGAAGGAAAACAAATTCAGATAAAAATAAAATAATATGGAGTGAATTTTCTGCATAGCTGATATAATTCCTAGTCACCAAATTATAATAATAATAATCCTTGCATTTGATATAGCGCTTTTCACGTCTTCTAGAGTCTCAAAGTGCTTCACAGTATAGACTGTAAAGTGAATTGACTGTTCAGTTGTGGGTGAAATGCAGCTGCCAATTGCGCACAGCAGTGTCCCACAAACAGTCGTGGATTGAAATGATCATTTTATTATTGTTTTCTTTTCTTGAGGGATTATTATCAGGTGTGTGGAGTAAGGAAACTTGCCCAAGGTTTCATCCTGCTTAATCCTGATGGGTTAGTTGAATGACCTAATAATATAATATACTCCTCCTATTTGGTAACCTTTATGCTTTTTGCCTTGATTACAAAAGCCGTACAATTTAGAAGTGATAGTTTTATACGGTGTGAAAATATCCTGATATCCACAGGTCTTAAAAGGACTATGTTCTTTGTAATTTCTATCGTATCAGCCTGGACATCATTTCTAGAATGAAGAAGGAACATTCTAAATTTTAAGAGAAATTTATTCTTTTCCTTCTAATTTTTATGTGTAGAAACTAATGTAAACTTCGTTTTTAAAATGAAAATTGTAATGGTTTCACAAACCTTGTCATAGTAGTATTGGTAGGGCTCAGTTTCACCTGAATTTGTTGTTGGTGCCATAATGTCATAAGTCTTCAAGAACTGAGAATCAACACCCTCCAGTGGATGAGACACATCTTCACTCTGTACATTGATCCTCACATCATCGAATGAATGAGTCAGTGACCGCCGACGTTGCCTTTGGACACACTGAGAGAACTGTCCTTGCATTTCACCCGCTGCAATGTTCCTGCAAACATTATAATAAATGTCATTTAAGATTTTAGAGGACAGAAGTGCCATGTTTATATTACAATCAAATAAACGACCCTAAGGCTTACAAAGGTTTCAATTCCTGTAGACGAACATTGAAAGATTAATGTCAGTTAACATGTTTTTTTGCGCAGGTTCAGTTGTGCAGAGATATCCCAGGGGGAAGTACACACCCGACTAAAGAACATCCAGCAAGTGGGAATGGTTGCAGCTAATCACAGCTTGGCAGGGTAGTTAGGGAGTTTAACAAGCTGGATGCACCACCACATCCAAAAATATGATTTCTGAAGTTCAAGGTGGTGGCTTTTGAAAAGTTGGTTTTCACTCAAGTAACATTTTTTAATATTCATGTTTGAAACAACAAAATTACATTTGTATAGCGCCTTTCCTTTGGCTGGAGGACATCCCAAGAAAAGGAACCAACAAGATTCCCCTAGATTGTCAAGGTCTAGCAAATGTGAACATTTGTCCATAGAGCAATAATTAACATTCTCTTGAATGCACAAATGCTATCAGATTTAGAAATGCTTCCTTGTCAATCCTTCTCCATGTCTACTCCTTCGGTAATCACCCTCAAGGACATCACAGTGAATACAGTGGGAGATGAATCTTTGAGAAAAATGATTTCAGAGGAAGATCTGATAAGAGCAACTTTTGACTAAGGCAGATACACTTTTGATTACAAAGAATGTACAGAACAGAAACAGGCCACTCGGCCCAACCAGTCCATACCGATGTTTATACTCCACACGAGTCTTCGCTCATTCTTTACTCCCTCCCATTCCCTTCTATTCTGTGAAGGTCGAGCTTCCTCTTGAATGCATCTATACCATCTGACTCAAACACCACTTCAGGCAGTGAGTTCCATTACCCTCTGCATGAAGTAGTTTCTCCTAAATTCCCTTTCATATCCCCTAGTTGCTACCTTATATTTGTGTCCCCTGATTCCCGAGTCCCCAACCACTGGGAACAGTCTATTTATGTCAACCGTATCAAATTCTTTTATAATTTTAAATATTTCTAATAGGTCCTCCCTTAAACATCTATTCTCTACAGAAAAAAGGCCCAACCTATCCAGTCTCTCCTGATAGCAATAACCTGCCGGCCTTGGTATCATTCTCGTAAATCTACACTGTACTCTTGTCATCGCTGATATATCTTTCTTATAGTGTGGAGACCAGAAATGGACACAATACTTCAAATACGGTCCCACAAAGATTTTGTATAATTTAGCATTATATGCTCTCCCTCTGGTCAAAGCAGAAATAGCTGAAGACTGTCTTAGTTAAACGAAGATTTTCCCCAATGTATCTGCTGTCATTGTGGTTAAATCCTTATACAGCAGCCAGTGGCAGGCTTGTGCCAAACTTTACAGCCATAAATTAACAGTGATCTTAAACCACTGGAATGGAATTAACAGAGTGGTGCAATACTGCTCTGTTAATGATGGTCATTTAAGATTTTTGCTTTGATAACACAAAGTTGGAAAAACGGTCTTCAGAATTTTGTTCGGATTTTAGCATGGATTGAGGTATTTTACTCTCTTAAATTCAGGCAATAGCTCTACAAATATTTGACTGGAATTCTCCCCAATTTATAAGGAAACCATTCTCAAATGACTGATTTAATTTATTACTTTAATATTTAAATATAGTAAATATATCTTTTCACCCACAAGAGACACAGGCATTCACTTTACAGTATATCCTGTGAAGCGCTTTGAGACGTCTCGAAGACGTGATAAGTCGCTATATCAAATGCAAGGAATATTATTATTAAATGTCAGTAAAAATATTTTTGAATGTGTACAGAATTTCAACTTACTGTGGTGAATGATGGTCCTCTGACCTGCAAAGAAAACAAATCAAAAGTTATTTCAGCACAAAATTTAATACAGGTACTTACCCCACTTGATTGCTTACAGCTTTATATGCTAGGCGATAGTAGCTGGGTTTTCCATTAATATTTACATTAAACAAAAGTATTATTCCTGACAATATTCAAGAAAAATGTTCTCTTTGACTTTAGAAAATACAAATCTTAATCATATAGAATGTTACGGCACGGAAACTAGCCATTTAGCCAAATAGTCCAAGCCAACTTTTATACATGAGCCGCCACCCCTCCTAATCCCCTCTCCTATATCTCTCTATTTCTTAATAACTTATGGATGCATTGTTTCTTCTTAAATATGTTAACGCTTTCTGTGCCTTCCGACAACTAACTCACTTTCTCACCATGCTCTGTGTTAACTCCCTTTCAGATCTTCGACTGGTTTCTTATATTTAATACGGTACAAGAATTGTGCTATGAATTTTGCACAGTGGTGCAAACTATTGCTATTAATCCTTGCATTTGGTATAGCACCTTAATAATTCCTTCAAAAAATAATCATAATAACAAATTGGTTACTCAATCCACAACACTGCTGTGCGTTGTTTGTGGGACACTGCTGTGCGCAATTGGCTGCTGTGATTCGCCCACAAATATATAGTCAATTCACTTTACAGTATATTCTGTGAAGCACTTTGAGACGTCAAGAAGACGTGATAAGGCGCTATATCAAATGCAAGGATTATTATTATTATCATGTCAGAAAGATGTCTCAAACCGCTTCACAGAATTTACTGTGAAGTGGAGTGACTGTATATTTGTAGGCCCACACGGCAGCACAATTGCGCACAGCAATGTCCCACACTATTCTGGATAAAATGTTGTTAGGTGCAAAAATCAATTACAGTCCTGAAATGCATGGTTCTCCTAATTCAAAACAAACAATATGAAATATATTTTGTTCTATTTAATAAAGTTCCATAATAAATTGCTTACCAACTGTTCGAAGCTGGTTTTAGACTGCACTCCATGTCATTGTTATTTGTATTGATCGGAGAGTTCACCTTGTAGTTGTAGAACACTTCTTCACTCTCCGTAATATAAGCCATTTCAGAAGCAAGATTATCTACAGAAGAATGCCGAGGCTTTTGGCCATCATGTCGCAATCTGGGGCTTGGCCTGTAAGTAAATACATTAATTGAATAACATTAAAACTTGCATTAATTAAAGCAGATCACAATATGATAATCTACTGGGGATGATGTTTCACTAAAGGGAAATAGGCAACCTGCACCAAATAACCCTCTTTATCTACTTCAATTCTGTCCTTACTCCACACGCCTAATAATAATCCCTCCAAAACCAAAAACAATAATAAATTGGTCATTTTCAATCGACGACTATTTGTGGGACATTGCTGTGAGCAATTGGTGCCGCGTTCGCCCACAAATATACAGTCAATTCACTTTACAGTGTGTTCTGTGAAGCGCTTTGGGACATCCTCCCGACGTGAAAAGCGCTATATCAAAATGCAAGGATTATTATTATTATCCCAGCATCTCCACTTTGTCTCTTCTGACAGCTTTTCGTCTCGATTCCCCTCCCCCCAAAGTCATATGCTGTGTTCCTCAGGGTTCTAAACATCTCATCCCACCTACTGGTTACTGAAGAAGTACACATAGAAATTTCAGAGATAGATTGTTGGAATTGAATGTGCACTCTCTCCCTGATGGGACACATCCTGCTTACCTAATTCCAGAGAGAAGTAGGCACAGGTTGGCAAGAGCCAAGGCTGCGGACCAGTTTACTAAAAAAAGTGTTAAGTGACATTATGCCATCTAGTGGTATAACCCTGGACACACGTTAGGGAAAAAGTGGCAAGAAGACTGAAAAAAGGACTCAACAAAGCAGATACAACATAGGAGCTTCACTAAAAAGGTTGGTCAACCAGATAATAAATAATAATCCTTGCATTTGATTTTGCATCTTTCACGTCAGGAGGACATCTTAGAGAGTGAGGATGCTTTGGTCGACTGCGTCGAATGTGGTGGAGAGGTCCAGGAGGATAAGCAAACCTTATAGAACATTTAACCATTCCACTATTCTAGCGATTTCATCCACAACCCCCACCCAGCACATCACAGCATGTTTTACCCAATTTTAGTCAATACATAATCCTATAACATGTTCTAAAGGAGTTGATCAACTCAGAGTTGTTGCCACAGAACCTTGGAGTCAGTCTTGAAAGAAGACGACTCAGAACGGACCTCATAGAGATGTAGAAAAGTTTAAATGGGATTGAAAAAGTAAACCTAGAACCATATTTTAGGATGTACCAATATAATAGAATCAAAGGACATAGGTTTAGAATCGCAAAGGACAAAATGAGGTCTGATACCAGGAAGTTTTTCTTTACCCAGGGGTAATTAATGCCTGGAACAGGTGACCTGGAACTTTTGGTGGTTAAGGTCAGGAGACTAGACATATTTAAAAAACATCTGCATGCACCACCTTAACTCAGGTGCCCAGACAGCATAGACGTCCTCCCAATGTGAAAGGCGCTACATAAATGTAAATTGTATTGTAGAGTGAATCTATTACTCAAATTTTGCTTACCAATCAGGTGTCAATGGTGGAGAGCGAGAAGGTAGGCTTCTGGTTTCCAACTGTTCTACTGACAGTGATTTCCTCAATACTGGATTCCAGACCATCCCACCAATGACCCGTCGACAGAATTGATAGTTGAGAAATCTGCAGCAAACAGAAATATAAACATTTTCCCAAATTCACTGAACAATTGAACTATCACAAGAATTGGAATTGACCATAAATACAATTTATTTGGTGAATTTTTGTGATTGTCAAGATGATGAAAGGTAGTGCTACAGAACTAGACTTTTCCTAGTTTCAGCAACAAGCATTCTAGTTTTGGCATCAAGCTCAAGTATATCAAAAACAGAGTAACGTTCTCTTACTCTGCCCCAACTAAGGGAACTAATTCCAGGAGCTAAATATCAGCTTATAGATTTGTTTGTCACAGTTCATTTGCGCCCAAATATTTCAGGAGGAATATAATAATAATCCTTGCATTTAATAATCCTTGCACTTGTCAGAAGGAGTCTCAAAGCGCATCACAGGATTTACTGTGGAATGGAATGACTATGTATTTGTCGACACAATTGCCCACAACAATGCCCCAAAATCAGCCATGAAATAAATGACCAATTTTATTTGGGGGATTGTTGGTCAGGACACCAGGAAAAACTCCCTTCTCTTTTCGAATACTGCTGTGGGATCTTTAACGTGCACTTGAAACAGGCAGACAGGTCCTCGGTTTAACGTCTCATCTGAAAATGTACATATTCCCTGGAAATTTCCAGCAAGTGGGAAATGTGCAGCCAATCACAGCCTATCTTGTAAGTGGCCTTCTGACTGCTTAGATTTACAAGCATCCACCACTCAATAATAATAATAATCCTTGCATTTGATATAGCGCTTTTCACGTCGGGAGGACGTCCCAAAGCGCTTCACAGAACACACTGTAAAGTGAATTGACTGTATATTTGTGGGTGAACGCGGCAGCCAATTGCGCACAGCAATGTCCCACAAACAGTCGTAGATTGAAAATGACCAATTTAGTATTGTTTTGGAGGGATTATTATTAGGCGTGTGGAGTAAGGAAACTTGCCCAAGGTTTCGCCCTGCCTGGAATTGAACTCAGGTCTCTCGCTTGCAAAGCGAGTGCTCTTAACCACTGAGCTACAGGACTCCAATAGGGAGGAGCTATGCAAGGCTGGAGCACTAAATTATTCAACCCGACCAGTTTCTAGCAATAACTGGAATCTGGGCTTGCTCCGTTTCATTTAGAACCACCCTACTCTCTTCAGCTCCTTGCTCGCATATTAAGTATTAACATACATAATGTGCTCACATATGCATTCCTTCTTCATATTGAAATTTCCCAGTGCCTGCCAATGGAATGTGGGCTCTGTCCCTCAAGAGACACTTGCTTGGAGATCAGTTTCTGTACGTGCCAGAGGCACAGCTGACCTCCAAAAAATTGCTTTGAATTTATCTTGCATTTTATTATAAAACATTTTTTCACAAAATAAAGTAAAACATATTCCCCTAGCTACAGAAGTGAAACATCTAATTGTAGGGTTTTGTCTTAGCAAGAGTTCTTTCCTTTTCTACATTATCTGGGATAGCGTCTTTCATTCTCTACTTAACTTCAGATCATCCTTTTTCGTCTACTCTGGAGTCATCCTGCTCTGGGAAAGCCTTCAGCTAGTGAGTAAATAGGTATCATGCTTTTGGCAAAACTGCTCTCGGTTGCCTGATTTCGTACATCCTGATTATACAGGGCAAGCTTTTTTTTTTTACACAAAAACATGTTACACTAAAATGTTAATAATTATTAACAATCACAACAACAATATGCATACCAACTGACATGTCTCAAAGCGCTTCACAGGATATACTGTAAAGTGGTTTGACTGTATTTTGCAGGTACTCTGGAGAGTGAGCAAAAATTTCATCGTGTGCAAATTTCAGGTTAAGGAACATAAAAAAAAACAGAAATTCACTCTAAAGTGAACAATACTTTATATACAACAATATGCATACCATAACAGAACTACAAAAGCAAACTGACCTGTTCTGGTTTCTATGGCCTACTGTGAAATAGGCTGCAAGTATTTTTTTCTCTTGAAGGAGTGGCTTCTTTGCTTGAAAGAATGTGTGGTGCTCCACACATGATTTCCAAAGAATTTTACATGCTCTATAATTAAGCATATTAAATCCAACAATACTCTCTTGAGATTGTCTCTGTCAAAAATAAAACAAAACGGGTATCTTATATAATTCTGATACTACTATGTTTGTCAACAGTATCTGCTGAAAGCAATTAAAAGGTCCAATTAGAAATAACAATTTTTGAACAAGGTGGTCTATTGTTTGAAGCAATCGGGAATCTACAATATACAGTGGAAGCCGCTTTAGCCTGACATCAGTTAACCCTGGGTGCTGGGTAAATCAGACAAAATGGCTGGCCCCGATTCATTTGTATTCTTACTGTTTTAATGATGCCATTTCATTCGGACAAAATTTGTTTAATCCAGACAAAATGCTGCGTCGGTCAACGCTGTTTACATACTCGTACCGAGGGGCTCCAGGACGGAGTTGAGAGTCAAATTGCGATTGATTGGCAGCAGACTCCAGCCATTCACAAGCAGTTCTAGGCTGTCAATCAGTGAGTGAGCGGACGAACAGAGAGGAAACAAGGGCAGAAATAGTAGGGTTCAAATCACAATTGATTGACAGCTGAGCCGCTTGTAAATGGTTGGAATTTACACTCCATTCACAAACGGGTGCAGGCTGTTAGTCACCACAGAGGGACCACTAATTGCTCCCTTCCCGTCCAATGGGAACAGTAATGCGAGGGAGGAGGTAGTTAAGGGAACTTCAATTAACCTCAGACATTACTTAAGACGGACAAAACGTCCACCCCCGACGTGTACAACTTAAGAGACTTCCACTGGATTTTAAAGAAATCTATATCCAGAAGCAATAACTTAATGCTTTGTTTGTAGTATATACATTACGGTGAGTTACTGTGAAAGGAAAAGTCCTAACGTTTTCAGGGTTTATCTTTAATTAGAATGGTTCTTTGTATTGCAATAATATTAAAATCTAAACATCCATAGACCTCCACACCCCCCCAACAGCCCCACCGCAAAACAGAAAGTATAATCTCCTGCTTTATATTACCCTATGCTGTAATCAAGTCGCTTTATAGTTCTCAAGAATATCTGTAGTAAAAGTAATGCATTGTCCTGGATATGGATTCTAACAACTTTGATATTCAGAATTATTTTCTTTAAAAAAAAGGAATCAAATTAACAATTAGATAGTTCCAGTGGGAGAGCTAGCACCAGCAGAGATGAAGGGGTGAATGTCCTTATTCCATGCTGTAAATTTTCCATCAAGCTGTTCAGTATGCTATACAACTGGGTTTTGGGTCTATAATACTTACGGGCTTTTCTCGTAGTTGAATAAAGAATCGTTTTCGCTTGAATGAAATCTTTGTAATATTTACCCTGAAACAGTAAAATTTTGATTAGCTGTCTAGTTTTATATAATAATCCTTGCATTTGATATAATGATCTTATCATGTCACCAAGACATATCAAATTGCTTCATGCAATTTATTACTGTTCAGAGACTTTGTATTTGTAGGCAAACATGGCAGCCAATTTGCGTACAGCAAATATTTCACAAAGCCACAAAGTGACCAGTTTTATTTGGGGGTTGTTAGCCAGTACACCAAGAGAACCTCCTTCTCTTTTTGAACAGTTCCATGGGAACTTAATGTCCTCCTGAATAGTTGGATGGGATTTCAGTTTAACAGCTCATCCAAAGAATATCACCTCTGATAATCCAGCACTGCACTGGAGTGTCAGTTTAGACTGAGTTCAAAGTCCCAATGTAGGTCTTGGATCCACAATCTTCTGACTCAGAGACGAACTTGCAACCAACTGAGTCAGCCTGATACCTAAGGCATTGAGGGGGTGCAATCTGAAGACAGTGATGAATATCATAGAATCATAGAATATTACAGCACAGAAATATTGTGCCTGGTGCCAGTCATAAAATAGTGGATAAACTTAACTGTTGAAATCAATTTATCCTTGAATTCTATCAATCCAACAGTCTTCTTATAAATCATCTCTCAAACACTGGTGATCAGTCTTGCTTTCTCCTCTACATTGCCTCTTGGACTTGTGAAGCCCTCTAATGAAACAGTGACCCAAACTGGACAGAGTAAGATAAGATGGAGTGAACTGAAAAGTCTGATCTTAGGATCTGAACTCAGCTGATTTTGTGGTATAGTCCAGCATTGTTCATTGTTGTCTCACCCTCTTTGTAACAAAAACCTGGATTTACAGCACCCTACACATCCTGAGGTATTCTGCAGGTGACTACGGAAGAGGAGAAACCATTGAAGGAAACAAAGTGGAGGCAGTGCATCAATTTGGACTGGAAACAGGAGGGTGCAGTCCCACAAAGGTGGAAGAGAGGAGAGGCAATCGAGAAGCTTAGAGTGAACTCCATCCCACTTTCCCTTCATCTCGCTCCCTCCCTTGCCTCCTCTTCAACCGCACATTCGGTCATCCTCCTACCCCTACCTTCCCTACCACCTACTCCCCCTGCTCCAAACCCCCTGCTTGGGTCCAAATCCCTGACTGTCCAGCCAACGTGAAAGGCGCTATACAAATGTAATTTGTTGTTGTTCAACAATGTCAAAAGCTGCAGAGCAGTCAAGGAGGCAGAGGGAGCCTTGGTCATAGACAAAGTCATTGGTGATGTTGACTAGGGCCATCTCATTGCTGTATGCAAGATGGTAGCCAAACTGGAGAGCGGGAACGGTGGGAGTGAAATTGAGTGGCAAGTGTGTTCCAGGACTTTAGATTGAAATTGAATTGTATACAATGAGTGACTAGTCAACTCGCATTCCAACGTTTTTTCCACAAACTTAATCTAGAATTGTAAGCATTCCTTACCAGGGATAGAAGCTAACACGAGCCATATTTCGATAGACACCCAGTCCTCCAGATGAAATACCAATCTGTACATCTAAATTTCCTAGATTCTAAAATAAAAAAAGTCAGTTACTAATAGTACAGATAAATAATTAGGAGATAGAAAGATCTGAATTGGTTCTGACCTTTTTTGGGAAGAACACAGTGCCCATTTACGAGACTATAGTGCAATTCAAATTTACAGAAGATGCAAACGACTTCTTAGGAATGGTCAAATGAAATTGATTCTCCCTTTTTTCCCCTTCTCTATATAGAGTACAGATGTATAGGTGCCACCAGGCCACTATTACCTCATTGACGTCACCATTCTTCATGATTGAGCTCAGAAAGCAAGTGTTATCAGGCTATTGGTCAGGAGAGTTAAGAGACAAACTCACAATTCTCATCAAATATACTGACATAGATTTTCTCTTGAAGTTCATTGGATAATGATTATTTAACTTTATGGTTATATTTATGTTCTACACTTAAAACGTAATGTTGTGAATTGACGCGGCCACTGCTGATAACACCAACACCTAGTTTCACCTCCCATTATTCATAACACGCTATTTATATTTTGGAGTAATTTGTCCACAGAAGAGGAAAAATGGTAGTGCAAAATCAGCCACCAATAGTTTACGTCCCATTTTTCAAAGTTTCAATATTTATTGCACAGTTTTGTTTTGGAAACGGTTTAATAAGGTGCGAAAATATTCTAATTTTTAAACAAAGCAAGAAGATACATATATGGGATAGACACCACTGAAATTACTCAACTGGCAACCAGAAGGCAGCTATTGAAGTATTCTGGTAAAGAGGAGGTTTCAGTATGAAGATTGGTACTCAATATTATATTCCAAGTATCTCTGCAAGGTTAATGAGGCAATGGATAAACTACTGGGACAGCAAACTTAAGAATGTTTAGCTCCACCACTAGGTAACAATGACAATACATACAATTTATTAGCAGCAGGAAAGTCTCATCTTAAAATGCCAATACTTCAGAAAATATTTACACATTATGCATCCCAGATCTCCATTCTCATTAACCTCCATCTTTCTTAATTATGGGTCAGTAATACATAAATTACCAGTCAATTATAGTGACAAGTAGACTTACCCTTGCCTTATGCAGTTCCACGCCATAGAATTCAAGTGCTTTTGCTCTGCTTAAATAGTAAAGTTCTGCTTCAGATTGTTCAAGGTCACTGTGGGAAAAAATGAGAAGGTAACCATTTGCAAAAACATAGTTAAAGATGCTGCATGGTAACTTAATGGTAAAGATGCTGCATGGTAACTTAATGGTAAAGTAATACATTATTTTGTTTACCTATTAACAGTAAGTAATCACTTTTTCATGATTGAAGTTTTATTTATAAAATCGGTTACATAAATTATTAATCTGGTGCTCAATTGAAACAATTCATTTTCCAAAAACAATTCAGACAAGTTTTTCATGCCTCTCACTGCTAAAAACAAACTTTGGTATCACCTATATTACAGTTTCTGGTCTTACAAAGACAAAACAGTTTGATCTGTATTTGTTGTTACAATTGCATAGGGTGAAACAAGGCTGAATCGATATCAGTAGCAGGTGAGTTATTATTGCATTTAATTATAAGGAAGATAAAATTAGAATTTCCTAAATACAAGATTTGTATTAAAATATTTCATTCTAAAATACACATTTGTTTCTACCTGTGTTGTTTGTGCAATAACATCACTTTGGTTTCAAACTCTTGGTTTTGATCTGGTCCAAAGCAGAAGTCTGCAATGTAGCCATGATGATGTTTAGGAGGATTGTATTCTCCAAGCTCAGCTGCATGAAGAGTAAATTTGTTAAAACAAATGACATTGCAACCATTCAATTTCCTTGCACACTTCTGTAAAATAATATCAACATTAGACATGTCTCTTATAAACTTGATTCATTCCAAGTTACATTTTTCGTAACTGTTTTTCAATTTAATATATTTATTTAACATCAAATCCACCAAAAATATTCCTGTTGATTGTATTACATTATATAACCAAGAACGTTTAACATTTTAATTGATAAAAATAACAGTCAAGTTCCTGTTTCAACAGAGCCTTGAACAACATGCATCATCTATTAACCCAAGACCTCAATAGAGTATCATTTCTTTTCAAATAAAATAACATACATGCATGCCATTTATATTGTACAATAAAGTGATCCAGGAATGGTTCTCTGGAGATCATACTCAATTGTTGTAAACATAGGTTGAAATAAAGAGCAGTTGAAAGTTCTGAATATTTTCAAATTCTGAAATGAATACTTCAGGGAAATGCTGGAAGAGTTAGAAATGCCAGTAATATTTGACAAGCCTGTCAAATTCACCAAATGATATATGCAGATTATACTATTTTAAATGCAGTTTACCCATATACTATATGATGTTGAAATGAAATGGCTCTTGCCAACCTGCGCCTAATGCTTTCCAGAATTAGGTAAGCAGGATACATCCCTCCAAGGAGAGATTGCTCATTTCATTCCAATATATATCTCTGGAATTTCCACATGTAGGTGGGATACATGGAACTCTCACATTGGTTTGGATACACTTAAACATGGTGAAGGGCTTCTGCTTGTGTCAAGATACCCGGTTGACCAAAAAAAAAAAAGCCTTAGGAGCAAGCTGCTTGTAAATTTGCAAGATCTTAAACTTTAAGCAAAGTGCTATTCACAAAAATATGGAGCAAACAAATAAAAGCAGTGTGCTGACGAAAATGTTCTGAAATGATTAAGACGATGATTTTATTACTTACCCTGGACTGCATAGGAAGCAAGAACGACTGCTATATTGTGAGGACATGATAACCTGTAAACACACATACTTGGCATTTATATTATACAACGGTAATCCACAAATGGTATTTTGCAGATAATACTCAATTGATGTAAACACTTAACTTCAGATAACTTACATAAACACATACAGAGTGGCCCCTTTATAAGGCGCCCGAGGAACAGTTGTTTGATGGAAAATGGGTCACGGGGAAGGGCCTGAAGTGGCTAGTAGGCAGGCCTGAAGCCAAAATAGATCTTATTCCATGTGCACTACTGCACCAGAAAAAAATTCTATTATAATAAAGTCAAAATAATGGAGGTAATATTGTTGTGGTTAAACTAAAACACTTAGTCCATATTTTTTCCTTTGTAGATTAGCATTTAGGCAGTTCAGTTGGTTTTAGTAATTGCATAAGAAAACTACACCTATGGTTTGTGGTTTCTCCAAGTCCACAATACCACCACCTGCTTGTTTAACATTAATTGTGAGTGTCTTCATCGACTTACAAACATGCTGTTTGGAAGAACCAGTGGATTTTTACACAATAGCAAATTAATCTTTCATGTATGGGTCAATTAGCGCTATAAGCCCTTTCAATAGAACTATGTTTGGAAAACTGTTTGGAAAATGTTTGCTATGTTTTGGAAAAGGTATGTAAATATTGATGCAGCTACTGGATGTATTTCAGGCTACGCTTTCTTTTAAAAAAAACTTCTAAGAGATTTGGTGTAAACATGAAAGGTTTAGCCCGTTGTCCTTAAACAAAAGAATGTAGCCATAATGTATTCCAAGTGCAGCAGAGACCACTTTAAGATAATACGCATTACTTGTGCAAAGTTGCTGTTATGTTAGAACATATTTTCATTGAAAACACAAAATACTTACCTTCCTTCAACAATATCTTTCTTAAGTTGAATAAAGTACAACTGCCTGAAAAAAGATATGAAATATTAATCCATATTCTAAAAAGATCTTCACAGAAATAAAATTACTCTGATTGTTTGTAAATGCAACAGCTTGGAGAATAATGTATATGCTAGGTTATTAATAAGACACTTTATAAATTCTGCAAAAATAGATGTTTTAACAAGTTAAAATAAATGATTCATCAAATCATCATGATATCAAGAACACACCAAATAAAACAGAGTTAATTAATGGCAACAGGAATATTTAAAATCAGTCAGACATAAGAAAGTACCAAAGATGAATCCTTTGTTTTGGAGTTTTAATATTTTTTGAACACCGGGTGCTCAGTAGTTGAGACACTGGTCTTTCACTTCTAGGGCATGGATTTAAATTCAGCCCAGACAAAGCTATAAGGTCCAACGTGAAGACATTAAAGAATTGCTGTGCTTTCTGAAACAATTGTGGTGCTTCTGTTTGTTGTCATATTGTGTTATGGTAGACTCACCTAGGGATCTTGTGCACTGCACTCACCATCGTGAACGCTGGAAAGTTTGGTGGGTGCCCCTAAGTATAGAATTATGACTCAACAGAGACCTTCAAGATATTGGCTGGAGAGGGCATCCTTCCCAATTGGGGTACCCCCAAAAGGGGCATCCATCTCAACTATAAGGGGCTTCCTTCCCAACTGTTGATTCACATCAGTATCTATTTGGTCGTGGAGGTAAACAAGTTTTTCTTGGACTGATCCTTTGGGACCCTGCTGAGAATGAGCAAAGTTCGTTCTCATCTCTCTTCAATGATAGCAAAGCTCCAATGTCGGTTAAACTTGTGGTGTAGACGTCTGACCAAAGAGTTCTCCTTCATGTTTCTGAGCTCCTGGAGTGCAGCAGATGGGTTTCCTTCAGCCCATTTACGAAGACCAGGATCAATCGTCAGGATGTGGATTTGTAGTAAAAAGGGAGAACAACTGCATGGGAGGATTCTCACCTACACTGAAATATTGTGGAGCACCATGTAGATGGAGTTGTTTTAATGACAAGCATGTCTGTTTACCAAAGCCTCTTATCCTCATATGAAGGCCTGGATTAAGCAGTTGGTGATCAGTAAGCTTGGTGCACGGCATTGAAGTTGGACTTTGGATGGCTGGCATGTCATAAGTTGTCCTGGAAAGGTCCTACCACCAGACTTCAATATTTGATGAGTAAATTCAAGAGGCTTGGGACAATAGCTGCCAGAGGGGGTTATCTGGAGTCTGGGTTTGTGAATATATTCTCAGACTCAGGGCACGGCTGTCACCTTGATTGGTGTGTAAAGGAGTAAGATGCTGCTGCTCAAGCACTGCACTTACAATTAGTGAAATTATTTCTAAATGGGTATGGATGTGTGGCTGAGCTATGGGAAGGAGCATGGCGGCAATAATCTCATCCATTTCATGCTGAGTTACATAACTCACTAGAAAGCTTTCAAGTAGTTCCTGGTGCCTGTTAATCACCTAGTAAGGGCTCAAACGTGCGCTTGTTGGATTTCAAATCACCAATAAGTGTCTATCCTCCAGCTGATCAAAAAAGTGAAGTCATTTTGAGAAATTTCAATTCAGTTCTTGGTGGGAATGATTTTATAGCACTGATTAAAAGTAACTTATAAGCAGGTTTAATAACTTATAAAGAGATTTACTTTTGTGTAACAAAATAGCTGGAGGCCAGTAAACACGATTCTGTGTCAGTATTCGTAAAAAAAGTCACTTAGTTACTTGAGAAATATAATATTCACCAAAGCAAGTATGAAACAATCCTCCACTTCTGGAGCTACAATGCCACCAGCAATTTCTAGATTTTCTAGGTTAAGAGTAACTTATTTACGTGAGGTTCACTTTAAAAAAAACAAGCCGATGACCAATAAACATATTTGATTTTAGATTGGTAATTGAAAAAAAAACACTCAGTATAATTCAGATTTAAAATGTTGTTGCATTCATACTGGACACATAAATAAGGATACTGCCACAATTAGGAATTGATCATTTGATTTTTTAGGAGTATAGAATCTACTTTTTAAATGACACTTACTTAAAATATTTAGGATTAAAACAAGTTTGATAATAATTGGATAGAGTTAATCATTTAATTCAAGTAAAATTGTATAAAATATTATTACATCATTTACACATTAGCATTTTTTTGGAACAAGCTTCCAGACTCACAATATTGAAGTTTATTGAAACAAAAAACACCTATGTTTGTGTAACCTACCTGGTCTGTTCTTGCTGTAGAGCACTTGGGTCAGTTACAAAAAATCTTACTCGGAAATTTAGTGAGCAAGGAGAACCTCCTGAACAACATTTTGGGGAAAGGTGGAAAAAATACACACATAATCAATAATCACTTGTTTAATGTTCAGTTTTAAAGAGGAAACACTATTTATCCAACAAGGTGGCATGACTAAACATTTAATCGTGCCGTATCACATTGTGGAAACATCTCAAAGTGCTTAACAGGATCTACAGTAAAGTGTAGTGACTTTGTATTTGTAGATAAACGTAGCAGCCAGTTTCCCATAGCAATACCCCACAAACAGGGATAAAGTAAATGATCAATTGGGTAGTTGTATCTTGTGAAGGACCGGCTTCCAAATAAAATCTCTCTCCCCAACTCAACAGGCTTTCTACACTCTGAAACAGCACTTTAGATATTAAATAACTGCGTACTGGTGTTTGTTTTTAAAACCTGGGAATTCACTCACAAATGTTTTACAACAAAATGACATTTGCATATAGTGCCTTTCACGTTGGGAAGATGTCCCAAAGATGCTCAATAGGGTAGGCACATGGCTGAAGACTGGCAAATGAAGTTCAATACTGATAAATGCACAGTACTGATTATAGGAAGTAAGAATAGGAGGCACATGTACTTCATGGATGAAATAGAACTTGCCAAGTTGGAAGCTGAAAGAGATTTTAAAGTGTTTGTTGACTGACTGCTCACTATGTCAAATTAGCTTGAGGCAAGAATAAAGAAGACAAACAGGATGCTGGGCTATGTTATCAAACCAGTTAAGATCTTCAAGTCAAAAACAATATATATAGCACTCTGGTCAGGCTGCACCTAGAGGAATGGGTTCAGATCTGGAGAGGAGAGCACCAAGGATCATCCCAGTATTAGAGGAATGAGCCATAGCAATAATCAGACAAGCTCAAATTCTTCAGCTTTGAAAGGAGATGCCTTGTTATAGAGGTATCGTTATAGAGGTATACAAGATTTTAAATAGAATTGAGAAAGTGAACCCACAAGAATACTTTGATGCACCGAGATAACAGAACAAGAGGACACAGAATTTCTTGTGATCTTCTGAGCTGTTTCAGATGTTCATTTAGAATGAACTTTCTTTAATATTTACGTGGAATAGTACATTAGACATTAAGCTTATTACTTCTATACTTCAAAATGAATGAGAAGGAGGGCTAGTTTGACTGAATAGGTTTAGTGATTTTATGTTCTTTTATTACAGTATTTACCACTTAAGTAACTATTCTTACCTTTGAGCTGTTTCCTGATGGGTTTATTAGGTTCAAGCCATCTCTGTACATAAAATATTAGTAAAGTCAGATAGATTAGTTCTTCTAATTGTTAACAGTATTCAGTTATTAATTACAAATATTCTCATTTTGGTAACAAAATATACTCACAGGGCAATCCACTGAATCATCTATGAATTGTAAACTAAAATATTCCCTCTCGGTCAAGCCCAAGTGATTATAGGCCATATCCAGGAGAACTTGACCAGCATCTTGTTTCTGTAACAAAAGATTACAAATCTTATACAATATAAACCAGATTTTCTTTAAAAATACAAAATTGCCTAGAATGAAATGGCAAAGAAACAGATTGTTCAGCCCAATGAGTTTGTGCCAGTATTTATACTCCACATGACCTTCTACCCTCACCCTCTATTCCCTCATCCCTCATGTATGCATCAAGTTTCTTCTTAAAGTGCTCTAAAGTACTATCCTGCGTGAGGGCCACTATATAAATGCAAGTTGTTGTTTTTAAATGTGTTGATGCTTTTTGCTTCAACCATAGCATCCAACAATGAGTTTCACATTCTCACCAGTTTTCTGAGTTACTCAGTCAATCTCAATTGGGGCACAGGTTTGGAATGTATAGTTGATCTTTCCTTTCTTGGGTTCGGAGGAAAGAGAGAAAATAATCAGTCAGGGTTCCCATTTCTGTTCACCTAGACTAATTGTGGAAGGTGTGTGGATGTTTGGTGAGGACAAGATTCAGCTTAGCCTTGATGCACCTCACAGTGAAACAGCCTTCTAACACTCACTGTCAGGGGCATGACTCAAGGGCAGTCGTAGCACCAAACTCTAGAAGAAAGAAAAACGAGACAGATGGGCTCAGTAGAGGAGAAAAAAGTCAAGAACAAAAAATATAAATTTTCTACATGGAGTAACTTATTAATATTAAAATGTGTTCATAGGACAGCTTCTACCTGTTAAATTACTTTTATTTCCTTAAAAAGATGCAAAGTGGTTGAGAGTGACTCCTCTGGAGGCTTATTTGTCTAATATCCTAAGAGCCTTCTGGAATAATGTATTTCAGGTTGTTTCATTGCTCAGTATACCCATAGACTGTGAGGCAGCAATACACAAGACAATCAGAAGGCTGGGCTTTATTACCCAATTGTCGAGCCCTGTAGCTCAGTGGTTAGAGCACTCGCCTTGCAAGCGAAACACCTGGGTTCAATTCCAGGCAGGGCGAAACCTTGGGCAAGTTTCCTTACTCCACACGCCTAATAATAATCCCTCCAAAATAAAACAATAATAAATTGGTCATTTTCAATCCATGACTGTTTGTGGAACACTGCTGTGCGCAATTGGCTGCAGACGTTTTGCCCACAAATAGACAGTCAATTTACTTTACAGCATCTTCTGTGAAGCACTTTGGGGCGTCTAGAAGACATGAAAAGCGCCATATCAAATGTAAGGATTATTATTATTATTATAAATCAGTTGATGTCATGCTCAAGCTGTACAGTGCTCCAGTCAAACTGCCACTACAGCACTGCAAGGGACCACCAAGGTCCAGAAGCAATATAGAGGAGAGTAATGAGGCTGATCCCCAGTGTTAGAAGTGTCAGCTCTGAGAATGATTAGATAAACTGTGTATTTAAAGTTTGAATAGAATGGTATAAGGGTGTTCAGTAAATTCACAAGAAAGGTTTGGATGAAAAAAATATTTTATGTTCACTTTCCAAAACACACAGCCAAACTTTCCAATTCCTTACATTTCCTAGTCTTAGTTCAAAGAAAAGAACCTGATGATGAACTATCAACTATAACACAAAATGGTTTGAGCAGAATAAAGAGAAGAAAAATAATAACTCTTGCATTTGATAAAGTGCCTTATCACATCTTCAAGACATCTCAAGTGCTTCAAAGAATATATTGTAAAGTGAATTGAATGTATATTTTGTGGGCGAAATGCGGCAGCCAATTGCCCACAGCATTGTCCCACAAACAGTCGAGGATAGAGTGACCAAATTATTATTATTATTTTCTTGAAGGGAAAAGTGATCCGCCAATTGACTAACAAGCGGGTTCCTACTTAGTACTAGGTAAACAGAGGCGTGTGGAGTAAAGAAACTTGCCCAATGTTTCACCCTGCCTGGGAAAACTGGTGGGAAAAGTGATATCTTCTTTAGAAGTGCAGAATCAGGCTTTAGAGATGTTCAAGATGGCGATAAATCAGGAAAATATTTCACCTGTGGTAGTTTCATAGTTTTATCCCTAAGTTTTGTCCAGCTAGTACCATATCCCTGAGTTTATTTCCACTAGATAATGTTACGTTTATGCGGTTTTAATGTATACTATCCCAATTTATACAAATGTGCTTTAAATTATTGGTACAATAATCCACCCTACCGGTATGAAATTTGGAAGCTTGACCCTTTGTGATATTATGGAATCTGCCACCAGCTTTCAAATTATCCAAAGTCTTAAAGGTTGTTGCTTAATCGGATGGCCTTTTTACTGATATTTCTCTGGCCCATATACCAAACATCTGTTGTTTTCCAGATATCAATCCTATACTGCCTTGCAGTGAATTCAGGTAGCTATACTTCTGGGGCAAACACAACTTCTCATACTATTCATACTAGGTGAAAGTTGCCTGGTACCAAATTCAGTAATCAAGTTTTGCCATCAACTGGTATCCAAGCTCCAGGCCCGGGAAAACACAACTCTCACAACTGTTCAAGGAATAATGTCTGCTCTTAGTAGAGGAGAAACATAATCACATTATTTTCTCCTTTAAAAATAGCCATTTGCCCCTTAATAGTGAACTTTTTAAGACATAATGTTTGATTTCTTCACTATTGGCAGTCACTGGGGCTTGGGAGTCATCACACTCAGCTCCTGTTAATCCTGCAAGCCAAACCCTAACGGGTAGGTTGGTACTAGCTGGACAAGCAGTGGAAAAGCATGCCAGACAGAGCTATCAATGGCAAGCTATGTGGTTTTAACTGGTTAGACTCCAGCAGTACAAACGCACATTCTGGGGTCCCCAAGCCTTGGCTGTGCCTAATACTTTCTGTAATTAGGTAAACCGGATGCGTCCCTCCATGGAGAGAATACACATTCCATTCCAACCATCTATCTCTGGAATTTCCATGTGTAGGTGGGAGGCAATGAAATCTGAGCTCGATTTGGATACTCTTAAGCATGGTGTTGGACACCCAACTGATCTGAAAAAAAATGATAGATATCTTCATTCTGTTCAAAACACTCTATGCTGTAGGTGATGGTTCAACATCAGGCTCTTTTCCATCAACTAAGAGATTACCAAAGGATTGGTTAGTTCCCCACTCTATTTAAATTTTCCAAAACAAAAAAATCCTCCATCATTGAACTATATCATTTGATTTCACTCACATTCAACTTCTTTTGGATCACAGCCCATCAGTACATACAAACAATTTGTTTTGTAGTAGTCCCTTGAATTACTGAACCTTTGATTTATTTATCCTCTTAAAGCCATGAAATTCCTTCAGTCTATTAATGTCTTTAGAAAGGACAATCTACACCTTACCATCTCTTAGCTTTGATGGCAAACTCTGATCATATAGAAACAGAAATTTTCTTCACAGAGGGAGCTATTTGGCCCAGTGTGTACATACCATTTCTAACTAATTTTCTAATTTTAAAAAATTCAATTTCAGTCCAAGATTTAAACACTGCTTCCACATATAGAGAAATCCTCCAGCATCCATTTTGCACTTCTGAACAGGAGAAAAGAAAAGGCTGGTCATATATGTAGCCTTTCTCATCTCCAGTCTCAAATTCCCCCTCGCTTTAATGCAGCCTGTCTCGTCTTCTATTTTACCAACACTACTTTGGTCATTGCTCCTCCTAAGCTCTAAATACTGCACTTCTTTCATTACTGCATTTTGTGTGTCATGGTAGAAGCAACATTGCCAGAACAGATTTGGTAAGTCGGTATTGTGATTTTTGATGTAGTAATGATGCTATGCTATAAAAACATACAGTAGTATAAAAAGATGTGTAACACCATGAGGACAGAGAATAGATTTTTTTAAAAATGTAAGCAAAGTTTCACACGGCAGCCATAAGCTACAGCACTGAAATTTTTATTTGTATTCCTTTACCTATTTCATAGTCAAATCTTTCTAAACATCATGTTATTTACATGCAGTTAAAATCTTAAGTGCAGTAATATAATGTGAAAAATAGGTCAACCCATCAAGGCTTAATGTGCCATTATTCTATAATTTCTAAGTGGCTCCAAACAAATTAATAAGCAAAGGATATCAACTCACATTGACTTTGAAACTCTGTATGGAACTATTCAAGAAGTGTACATTGCAGATGACCTCTGATCGATGCTTGTCTCTGGGAATCTCAAATGCACGCATGTTGTTTGTCCTCCCACCCAGCATGCGAAATCGAGATGTCATCACTATCCCTGCAAAAGCTAAGCAAAAATAAATAGAATTATCCATTGTTTAAGTTACAAACACAAAGAGAGTTCAAATTAAACAACTATTTCAGTATCATTTTCCACAAATGTATGGTTAGTAATAATAATGCAGTCACTATGTAAGCTTTGCCATGAATACTTTAATAAAGTTATAATAATGCTAATAATAATAAAAAATATAATCACTGCATTTGATATAGCATCTATAACACTTAACAGCAATTACAAATGAAGTGCTTTGAAGTGTAGTGATTACATTTGAGGCAAACACAGCTGCTAAGTTACACTCAAGATCCCATCCACAGGCAGAGTAAATGACCAATTTACTTGGATAATTTGCTGGCCAGGGCACCAGGAGAATCTCCCTTCTCTTTTGATGTTCAGAGTCCTGAGATCTTTGTCCACCTTAATATGCATTGTGGACCTCAGTTTAGCCTAACTTGGAGGGCACCTCTGACACAACAGCACTTCTCTGCACCGGAATCATGTTCTTCATAGGCTACAAGTCCAAATTTTCCACTTTGAGTTCAAACCCACAACCTCTGCAAGTGGCTTTGCAAGAAAAAAAATCCTGGTAAAGATTCCCTCTCTGGCTCACAGTATGCAGTTTGACTTATTTTCCAATAGAGTGCAGGCTATTTCACATTTGTACAAAAGGTAAAGTGAAGTGTCAGAGTCCCCAATTGACCATTATTCTTTGTGGGGCAGAGGGTATAGTTTAAACTATTATGTCTAGTTGATCATATTACAATATATTGAGACAGGTTCCAGACATTATCTATGAAACTCTGGGAGTTTTTCCTTGAAAATGCTGTTTTGGTCTACCATAGATATCATCCAGGATGTCTGTCTATCACGTAAACTGATAAAAGATTTAATCTGCAACGATTTTCAGAAATCATGACTGAAACTAAGAGAAAGGAAAGAAAGCAGAACTTTGCTAAAAATTTGAAAAGGCTGATTTGCCTCGTTTTGGTATGCCTATTTTACTAATGTATCAATATCACACATCAAGGCAGGATTTCACCTCTAAACAATGCCAAACTCACAAAGCCTAAAGACACAATGGACAAATTTGTGTGGCGTTGCAAAGGTTTTATGTCTCAAGTGTATTCGGAAGCTGAAGCTGACCATATGGGCTTTTCAACTGAATAGGGAATCTGAGAAGACTGTGACCTGGATTATACTGCCTTCCAGACTGAATGAGAATTTTTTTGGGGGGGGGTTGGGAAGGGAAGCGATTCAAAGTAAGAACAGGCAAGAGAAATACTATTTTGGGAAAAGCACACAAAGTTTCTTTTTAAAAGCTCACAATAAAATTTCCGTTTGTAATTATGTTCATAGCAAATAAATTTAACTAATATAAAGGAAGCTATTGTTCCTCTATACAACAAGGGTTTGGAATGAGGTTCATTGAGCAGCAAGGTCAGATGTGCATTCCTGGTCTAAGATGGTTCATCAACACATTCTTCAAAGAAAGTGCCAGAATTCTGTCCAACTCCCATTTTCAGGAATGAATAGGCATTAAGAATACATGATTTCTCATTGGCTGTTTAATGGGATCGGTTTTTAAAGTTTTATTGTCGGAAGAATAAATCAATAATTCAAGGAAGAGCTGATAAGCGTTGTAATCTATCTTAATACAGGTGCAACAGCAACAGAATTACATTTGTAAAGCGCCTTTCACATCAGGAGGATGTCCCAAGGCGCTCCACAGTCAGTGTTTTGGACCCAACCTGGGAGTCGGGATTGGGGAGGGTGGAGAGGAGCAGAGTGATCAAAACCATGGTCGAAGAGCAGGGTCTTGAGATGGGTCTTGAAGGAGGCAAGGGAGGGGGGGAAGGCGGAGAGACCGCGTGATGGAGTTCCAGAGGGTAGAGGCAGAGTGGCAGAAGGCCCGCCCACCAATGGTGGGGCGGGTGAGGCGGGGGATTTGAAGCAGGCTGAGCGGAGTGGGCAGAATAGTAGAGCGTTAGGAGGTCACAGAGGTAGTGGAGTGCAAGGCTATAGGGGGCTTTGAAGGTGAGGACCAGGATCCTGTATCCTCTGTGTGATGGGAAGCCAGTGGAGTTGGGCGAGGATGGGGGTGATAGAGTCACAGAGCCTAGTGCGAGAGAGGACACGGGCTACAGAGTTCTGGATGATCTGCAGCCTATGGAGGGACAAGTTGGGGAGGCTGACGAACAAGGAGTTTGCATTGTCAAGCTTTGATATTATGAATGAATGTATGAGGGCTTCGGCGGCCTGCGGTGTGAGACAATGGCGGAACCGGGCGATGTTGCGGAGGTGGGGAAGGCAGAGCGGGTCATGGCACGGATGTGGGGTAGAAAGGATAGTTGAGGGTCAAACAAGATCCCAAGGTTCTGGATTTGCTTAGTGAGGTGGAGTGTGCAACCATGGATGGTGATGCTGTCAGCGCCTGAGGTGAGGAGGAGCTGACAGGAGCCAATCAGGAGAGCCTCGGTCTTGTTGACATTCAACTGTAGAAAGTTAGCTCTCATCCAGGACTTGATGTCTGACAGACATTCTGTCAGGACAGCAGTGGTCCTGGAGTCAAGGTGGAGGCAGTTGGGTGTCATCCACATATACGTGGAAGTTGACCTGTGGATGATGTCACCAAGAGGGAGCATATAGATATTGAAGAGGAGGGGACCAAGGACAGAGCCCTGAGGAACGGCGCACAAGATGGTGCAGTGGCTGGAGGCGAAACTGTTTGTGGAGATGACGTGGAGGCGGTGTGAGAGGTCCGATCTGAACCAGTCAAGGACAGAACTGTGAAGGTTGAGGTGAGAGGAGAGTCAGTGGTTGAGGATAGAGTGGTCAACGGTGTTGAAGGCAGCAAAAAGGTCAAGGAGGACGAGAGGCAGAGGGAGCCTGGTCGCAGATGGACAGAATGTCATTTGTCACTTTGACCAGAGCTGTTTCTGTGCTGAGGGTATTATTGTACTAGATCAGGGTAGCCCAATATTTTGGCAGGTGAGGGCCAGCTGGATTTGGGAAACATCCGCAGGCCAAATAAGCAATATATTTATGCTTCCCTTCAAGAAATATAACCAGTAAAAGAATCCACTATAATTCCTATTTTAAATTGTGCAATTATATTGCTTAATTTCATTATATTTTAGTTACAATGCAAACTTTAAATAGACAATGTAAAAATTCATAAAAATTTAAAAACAATCATACACTTTTATCTATAAAGTACAAGAATAGTTTATAGATAAAAGTGTAAGAATAATCATTAAATCCAAAGTAAACAATGAACATGAAATAGTTAATTGAATTAAAATGCACTTAACAACAAAAACAAATTACATTTGTATCGCGCCTTTCATGTCGGGAGGACGTACCAAGGCACTGGAATAGGCCTAACAATCAGCAAAATAATGATAAGACTGGAAAATGTTTCTCTTGAACCAGAGCTCCAATGTCCTCTATTTTCCTCATCTATCGTGTGTTACTAAGACAAATAGTTCTGTAGTTTTAGAATTGCAAAATATGTAACAATACCTTTTTATAATATTCCTGTTGTGCCTCTCTTCCCCTCGTTCTCTACGCTGCCTCTCACAAGGCTGTATGAGGCACGAGGCACTGTGGACAGTGGCAGGAAGAGAGGGGAGCAGGGGGACCTCTTCCCTCCACAAGCTGCATATCATCCAGAACTCTATAGATTGTGTCCTCTCTCGCAACAGGCTCCGTGACCACCCTCACCCATCTCCACTGTCTCCCCATCCCCCAGAGGATGGAGTTCAATATCCTCGCCCTCGTCTTCAAGGCCTTCCACAGCCTTGCCCCTTCCTACCTCTGCGACCTGCTGAACCCATATTAACCTGTCCGCTCCCTCCGTTCAGCCGGCTGTGGCCTGCTCCATGTCCCCCACCTGGCCTGCCAATTGGGCCTTCAGCCTCTCTGCCCCCACCCTATGAAACTCCATCCCACATTCCCTTCGCCTTGCTCCCTCCCTTGCTTCCTTCAAGGCGCGTTTCAAAACCCTCTTTGACCGCGGATATGGTGGACATGTGTAACATACAAAAGCAGGTGCTGTTCAATGCAAAGTCTTCAAATGGAAACTGGATAAATATTTGCTTGAGGACTGATATAAGGATAGTAAAAGATTCAGAAGACCTAATGCTCAATAGAATACAATGATTTATGTGCTTCTGGGAGAGAATATTTGTGGAAGAAAGTCTGATTGTTGGATATGTGGGGTTTAACAATGTAGATGGTTTTGACTTTGGGGTTCAAAGATTCTCTGTGGAGCTTTATCCCATGAGACAAAGTTGGTGGGGTGAAGTCCATGATACAGCACGTTTTGCATGAATTGATGGGCCAAAAGGTTTCTCATTCTAGGTTTTGCATTTCATGATTTAAAAAGTTAACAGAGGATTATTAAAAGAAAACAAAAGTCTAAGGGGGACTACTTTCTGTTTAAATTAATCTATTGGTCATCTTAGAAAATATGTATACTGTACTATCACTTTTAGGCTAGCTCTAAGATCCACCAGCTGGTTAGCTGCATTGGTGACTCATTTTGCAGGAGGGGCAGCTGTATTAAAGAACAGTTCTGCATTATTTAGTTAACTGGGAGTGGGTGCTATGGACCAGCCTTGGAACCTGGGAGCAATGAAACTCCAGAAAGTCAAGATTTGTAAAGATGTCACCAGAAGTATGTGAAGATTTTAATGGATTGCTGAACTTTAGAAACCTGGATTTTCTGCTTTGATCAATTCTTAAACTAGTCACAGTGTATCTCTTCCCTGCCCCCTTTAAACCAAATTGCATCATGCAGGAACCTCTCGCCTCCTATCTGTTTCTGATTAATCTATTTCAAACAAATTGGAGATCTTGTGAAATTGTTTAATAACGATTTTCAAACCAATAGAAACAAGAAATGCAATAAAATCAGAAAGTACTATTTGTCAGTACAATTTATTTGTATCTAATGCTTTCCACTTAACAGAACGTCTCAAAGTACTTCACAATAAGATTAATTA